GTGCCTTCTGCTGCTCAGTCCATGTCCTCCACTTCAGTTTCCCTATCTATTAAGCAGAAAAGCACCCTCTCTGACATTCCATCCTTGGAAGGACACAGGGGCTCTGGAGAACAGACACCCTTTTAAACCAAGGTTCCTTGGGTCCGTTAAATCCCAGCCACCTCTGTTAATTGCTGCCATTTCCTCTCTGGCGTCTCTCTCAGGTAGCAACAGTAATCCTTGCAGGCATGTGGACTGTCAGTGTCAGAATCCTCCTGGAATATTCTAAAATGCATCTGGCCTATAATCACTGGCAAAGGTCTCTAGGTTATACCAGGGAGCAGACAGAAATAGCAAGAAACCAGGAGAAAAGTAGGAACCAACCACTTCAGTTGCCTTAGGGGGGTGTGTGTGTGTGTGTGTGTGTAAGAGAGAAAAATGCAAAGGGACATAAGAACAGGGACCAAGAGAGAAAAAGGCCAAGTGTTTCTGCAATAGTGGATCCCCTAGGCCAGGAGGTTGCCTTTGGTCCTGAACTTAGGGCTGATTCGGGGGTATGTAAATGAGATATACCAGTACACGGATGGGACATGAGCAACATGACTCTTCCCCCAACCACTCTCACCTGTGAAGTCGCATGAGGACAGACTCGAACCAGCTGTCATCTATTTTTCCCAAGTCCAAAGGAGGCAAAAGAGAGGTCTGCCTAGCCAGACGTGGCTTAGAAATAAAGGGTAGGAAGGATGGCCCACCTGTCCCTGGAAAGAATAGGCAACATCAACATAACAGTTGGAGGGGGCTTAGAAGATTGTCATCATCCCAGAAATGACCAAGAGGCCTCCGAGAAGTGTGTTTTCAGCCCCACTGTCCCTGTGGTGTTTCTGAGATGGATAGAGTCTCCCAGGATTCTGGGAAAGCGAAGGGGAAGAGAGATGAAACATTTGTCAATAGGAGTGGACTAGACCCTTATCCTCAGTGGGGATCTGACAATGTCAATGGTTTTACCAGGAAAGGAGTGTCAGCAGTCCCTGTCAGGGTCCTGGCAAAGCCTCAATTTACCCCACTCTGAACCCCTGAAAAAAGCCACATTCAAGGGATGTTTAGGGGAGACAATCTGTTTATTGTAGCAATAGATCCAAGCAAGAAGACAAACTGCAAAAGAAACAGTCTGCTCCAAAAGCAGACACATCACAGCAGTCAGGTCACAGAGGGTCATTTGAGTTTCTCTTCCCACCACCTCTTCCAACCACCATATAGCACAAAAATACCTTGAAAGTGCATAAGTAGTTGGTTTTTCCCCTCCAAGTGCACAAAGAGCAATAAGAACATTCCATAATCTCCCTTTGGTAAATCAACTCAAGACACTGAGAAATGATTGTTTCTCTCCCCAATGTAACTTTTAGGGTGGATGTAGTGAGATGTTTTATAGTTATGTATATCATACGTTTATACCTATACATAGACTAAGTACAAATGCATCAGCAAGCTTCAGTAAAGGAAGACATCGGCAAGAGGCACAGCAAGAGACACAGGCTGTCTATCCTTAAGACATAATAAGTAGGAAGGAAAATTCCTTGATTCATCACCTGTTCCAATTGCACCAAGCCATTTCTATGGCATGGAACTATCCTTTTGGCCCTGGCCAGTATTTTCAATTGTCCATCTGCTTAACCTGACTTTGTAAATATTCTCCAGCCCAACCTCCCAGGGAGTCTCACAGGGAGAAATATGGATACAATCAGCTTTTCCTTTTTATAAATTGGGAATAACTTGATTAGTCCATAGCCGAGGCAGGGAGGAGGGGGCGCAGAGCATATTTTCAAAGCCAGTTCCAAGGCACCTCAAGGCATTTCAGTCCTGAATAATTGTGCTTTGTTCTTATAAACTAAATCCCATGGGTTGGCCAGCCCATCTCTCTTTACAATGGCCCTTAATTAGAAGGAAGAGACAGATAAGGGGTTCCAAGAGAGTGGGAGAGGCAGGGAAAGTTGAGAAAACCAGCAGACTGCACCCAGCAGAGCGCAGTGATGGGCACATGCAGCCAGAGTGGGACTTGAACCCCACAGTGCAAGAAAAGGAACAGCTTGCTGGTATAAACTAGAAAGCAGGGTAGGGAAATGGCTGCTGTGGAAACATCTCACACCGTCCCACCTCTATTCACAGAAGCACTATTTTGTTCCCAACCTCATTGTTCTGGGAGAGGCAGCTCCATAAGACCTCTGAAGGAGATTCTAAGGAGCTTGAGAAGAAAAGAGCAATGAGGGTGAGCACCTGGGGCAAAGTGGTTCCTGGCCCACTTCCCTCTGCTCTGGCCCCTGAAGCCAGTGGAGAGGCCTTGCCCTCCCCAGGCCCCACTGGGTCAGAGCAGAGAAGGGAAGAAACTCAGAAGTCTTGGGCTTCTTTATGGAGAGTTAGGATTCCTTAAAATAAACCTAGGGTATCTTACAACTAAATCCCCTAAATATTATGAGTCCTGGAAAAAGAAAAGCTCCCAGCATCAGCACAGATCCTCACTCTTTCTGGGAGAGGAGAGCACTTGAGAGGTTGCCAAAAAGTGAAATCTGCAAACTGCAGAAGTGTATTACAACCACTCTTGGTTTCAGCTGGTATGAGGTAGGTGCCCACCACCCACCTTCCCCTCTCAGCTGGTTGGCTTGAAAGATGGGCAATGTCCACCTGCCCCAGGCATCCTGGTGGCTTAGCCTACCTTCATTGGCAGTGTGTTGATTGGCAGTTAGGTACTGAACCAAAGTGTTAGAATTTTCCTGTGGGCTGGACCCACCCCACACAGGCTCTGTCTAGGTGCCCATCTCCAACTTTGCCAGGCTTCTCACCCTCTTCCCAATGGTATCTTCCTTCTTTCCTTCCTTTCTTCCCTTCCCAGGGCTCAGATTCCGGAATCTCTTCCTTCTTCTCCAACTCCAGCCCTGGAAGCAGTGGCTGTACGAGTGGAACTAGATGCACCAAAAAACCTAATCTTGGTCCTCCCAGTGTTGACATAGCAGTTCCCAACTCTTATGGCTTTATGTGTGTCTGACACAGTGCCTGGCACACAGGAGATGCTTAATAAATGGACGCTAAAGTGAATTAAATTAAATCTCCCACAGGCTATTGTTCACTCCCCCAAATTGACCATCTAATGGGCAGAGGCAGAGAATAGTCCCTGAGACTGTCACAGTCCTGTCTCCAACCACTTTTCTCAGACTCGTTTCCTGCCCTGGGCTCCAACTCTCTGAGCCTGGGCAGGACCTGAGCTCCTGGAAAGGTTGAAAGGTATGAAAAGGCTCAGCCTGGGGCAGGGGATGGGGCATTGTCAGCAGCTCTGTCCTCATTCCCATCACTCGGCCCTGCCTCAGGCTCAGATTCCGGAATCTCTTCCTTCTTCTCCAACTCCAGCCCTGGAAGCAGTGGCTGTACGAGTGGAACTAGATGCACCAAAAAACTTAATCTTGGTCCTCCCAGTGTTGACATAGCAGTTCCCAACTCTTATGGCTTTATGTGTGTCTGACACAGTGCCTGGCACACAGGAGATGCTCAATAAATGGACGCTGAAGTGAATTAAATTAAATCTCCCACAGGCTATTGTTCACTCCCCCAAATTGACCATCTAATGGGCAGAGGCAGAGAATAGTCCCTGAGACTGTCACAGTCCTGTCTCCAACCACTTTTCTCAGACTCGTTCCTGCCCTGGGCTCCAACTCTCTGAGCCTGGGCAGGACCTGAGCTCCAGGAAAGGTTGAAAGGTATGAAAAGGCTCAGCCTGGGGCAGGGGATGGGGCATTGTCAGCAGCTCTGTCCTCATTCCCATCACTCGGTCCCTGCCTCAGTCGAAGCCTGGAGAGGCTGGGCTCCGGGGAGATGAGCAGGGCTGGATGCGTACACCTCCCTCACCTTATCTCCCTCATTTACCACAGAGGCCCCTCCCACCAGGACAACTATGGCTGTGATCATTCAAACTGCAGACTGAGGAGCCCAGAGGGGATGGCAGGACCCTCAGTTTGTCAGTTTGAACTTCAGTTTCCTCATCTGCAGTATAAGTGACGTGGCTGGTTGATTCTCTGAGGGTCCAAGGTAGTGTTCTCCACGCCAGCAGTTTCTCTCCCTGTCTCTCTCCCTCTCTTGAAATTCCCTTAATGTGAGTAAAATGGCAGTGAAAGTTGGCTCCCCACAAGTGCTACTTTCTTCCCCACAACAGAGTTGTTGGGGCAGGGGAAGGTGTAACATAGCTCTAGATGTGACATGGCCACAGGTTCTCTCCTCATGCTTCCCTTGGGGTATTCCCTTCTCTGGTCTCTAGCCAAAAGCCAGATGAAAACCCTGCTGAGGGTAACTGGGAAAGTCTGAACAGAGCTCTGAGTTTTGCCCCCCACTCTGCACATCCTCTTCTCTGCCCGTGGCTTACATCCCTCCTCATCTCTGCACCTTAGCCGCTCCTGGCCCAGGCCGATGGTGGTCATCCTGTTAGACAAAGCAGTCTGCAGTCAAGTCCATTTTACAATGGAGCCTACCCTGTCAGTCCTTCAGCTGATTAAAATCTGTCTCCTGTTCATAGGCAAGTATGATGGAAAATGACCACTACCTGGAACAACGCAATCCACCCACGGCCCAGCTCAGGGGTTCTTCAGATCCCAAGAGATTAGCACCCAGCGGAAAACCACGAGCCTTCTGTGGTAGCAGCCGTTAATGGAGAAGAGGGTGAAAGCAGAGCTCCCTGGGCCACGGCTTGTCTCCATTTGCTTCCAGTCTCAGCTTTTCTTCAATGCTCAGGAAACTCACGGTTGTCCCTTTAACATACCCCATCCCCAAGTTATAGGAACGTATATATTACCACCCTCAGCCCGACTGGGAGCAGCTCAGGGAGCAGAGCAATGTTCCAGTCCAGGCCTTCTTGAGGCAGCACAGGAAAGCCTCTCCCCCACCCACAGGTCCTCTCTGAAGCTGCCACCAGAGGAGTTCGTGCGCCGGGCAGGCTGGACAGCTGACCCCCTCCTCCACCGCTGCCCACCCTCCCCCTTCTCCTTGGGACCCTCACACATGCCTCCTGCCTCCTCTCAGGGACTGGCAGTTTTGAACTCACTTCCTCCCCCCAGGGCCCACACATCCCAGACATCATGGCAGTTTTCTCAAATGAAAGAGAGGTGGGTCACTCTTGGTGCAGGGAGGGGGACACAAAGTGAAAGGTTCAGGAGGCTCCAGGTCAGCCCTGGGGTCCTGGTTTAAGAGAAGCACACCAAGAGAGGGTAGGCAGGGGCACGCTGAGCGGAGCAGAGAGTGGGAAGGAGATAGGGCATGAGGGAGGGGCTGTGGGGCCGGCCGCCTGTTACTTGGTGCCATCATCTGCGTTGCCCTCTCCATCTGTTTTGCCCTCCTCCTCCGTCTTCAGGTCATCCGTGCTCAGTTTCTGCTCTTTTTTCCTCCTTACACACTTCACTACCATCAGCACTAAGATGACCACAGCCAGGAAACCTCCCACGGAGGCACCCACAATCACAGCCACCGTGGAATCCCGCTCAGGGGGCTCTGGAGAAGAAAAAGAAACAGACCCACTGAGCACTAGGGCTGGAAGAGTGAGCCTCGGCCACTGTCCCCTGCTCCCACAGTATGTGTGGAGCGGTCCTGATTTTATTCTTCTCCATGGAAAGAACTTTAGTCAAAACCAAAAATCAGCCCAGATCATTGACCTCTAACCCCCGACCCCAAAATCCCAGAGTGCCTAAAAGCCCCAGGAGAGGGCAGTATGATGCAGTATTTGACAGCATGGACTTTGAGATCAAAAAGACCCAAATTTGTGTCTTGATTATACTATTTATTTATTGTGTGACCTTAGACAACTTACTTATCCTCTCTAAACCTCAGTTTCTCATTTGTAAAATGGGGATAATTAATAGTACTTCCCTCACAGGGTTTTATGAGGATGAAATAAGGTAATGCATAGAGTTTAACTGAGACATAGTAAGTGCCCAATAAATGAAAGCTGCTATAATGATTCTTAAGATCATGATCATGATCAATAGCATTACAAGAACTCTCTGAGACATCTTCCCAAGTCCTCAAGGACTGGAGGGAAGAAAACAGATGCCTTGCAGCCAGCACAGGCTGTTGCTGTGATTAGTCCCCTCAGGAGGACACAGCCTCTCCAAAGGAGCCCTGAGCTAATGCTGCTAGAGAGTAGTTGTGGAGAGTAATTCAGTGGGAAAGGTCAGGTGCCCCCACAGCAGCCTTGCTCCCCATTCTGCCCACCTGCCTCTCACCTTCCATGAGAACCTGCAGGTAGATCTTGCCATGGCCACGGTGGCGGTCAGGTGGGTTCATGATGTAGCAGTTGTAGAGGCCCTCATCCTCGAGCTGCACGTTTTTCAGCGTCACTGACACATCATATTTGCTGGGGTTCCCCGAGAACTCCACGCGGTCTCGGAACCGCTCCAACTTCAGGTTAATGATCTTCATGCGGAATTGGAGGAACTGAGGTGGACAAGGGACGGGATGGGGGGGATGGATGAGCGAGGAGCTGCAAGGAGAGCAGGATGCTCCTTCTCCCATGCACCTTTACCTGGAAGAGAGGCAGTTACCTCCAGATCTCCGCCACCCTCCCCGGGGCATGACAATGCACCTTCCGACAAAGCCCTCTGGATCAGACAGCCCACCCAGATACTATGGGCACCTGGTCTAGTATGGGGCAGGGTGCGGGAAAGGTAGGCCTCCCACTGTGGGCCTTCCACTGGGCCGGACTCCTCTCCCAGCCCCATCTCTATCCCAGGACTCACCATCTCCTCAGAGCAGTTACTACACTCCTGGTAAGTCCAGTTCAGAGAGAACTGTTTGTGGTTCACTGTGTAGCAGGAATTGAATGTGCAGGCCAGGCGAGCATCAGAGCCATTGAGCACATTGAGGGTAGTAGGTACTGTGACTTCCATGCTCCGCCCTGGTGGCACTGTGGACAAAGCCAAAAGCTGGTGAGGATTCTGGCTGATAGTGCCATGGAGGCGGCAAGCCTGCTGTGCCTGGCGGGGAGTGGAGCAGAGCTAGGGCAATGGGCTGGGTCCCTAACAGCCGAAATTAATCATGTGGTGGGGTAGAGTGGGCAAAGTTCATAATGGGTAACTGATGTGGCCCTGGGGGTGAGGGCAGTGCAGAACAAGTCTGGGGTAGAGAGAGACCAAATCATCTGTCAAGCCAGGGACAAACAAATGGCCTCAGGCCTTTTCCAGGAACACCGTTGGGCAGCCCCTCCACTTGGCCATCCTGCTCCAGCCCTGCCTGTGCCACTTGCTAGCCAAAGACCTAGGACAAAGGACTTCACCGTGCTGGCCTCCTATCCCCCTTCTTCCTCACTACTTCCAACCATCTCTGCTAAGCCAACCCTTTCCAACTGACGCTACAATGTCTCCCATGGGGCAGGAAGGCTTGAAGACACATAAAGATTAAGAAGGCCTCATACTCTATATCCCAGGGCCAGAGCAAAGCATTGTGCTCAGCCAGTAGAGACACAATTCCGAGGAACCAGCTGATGGGTCTACAAGGACAAGAGTCCCTTTTGAAGATGTAAGGCCTGAAAACACCACAGCAAGGAGTTGATCCAGGCTGAAGGGGTGGCAGTGTGGGAACAATAGGTTTCTGTGGAATTCTACAAGGAAACCAGACTTGGTATAGCAGATAGGGGCTAGGGCTGAGAAAGGCCCATCACACTCTGACATTCTAAGCAAGGCAGAGTCTAGGGTGACGTGAGTGAACCAAAACCCTTCCAGTGCCCCTTATGGGACAGAAAGCCTGGGGCACGAGATTTAAGAAGGCACCCACCTTTAGGGTCATGAAAATATCTTTTTAAATTTTGCACCCCAGGTGCCTCACTTGCCTCACCTAGTTCTGGCCTTAGTACTAAGAGTCTCTGCCAATATTGTCAAAACCTCATCCCAAAAGATTAATTGATTTATCAAAGACAAACAGTAATGTTGAGCATCAATGATTTATTCACTCATATACCAAATATTGATAAATCACCTACTATGCTCTTAGTCTAGGCCCTGAGGAATACTGTCGTGCACAAGACGGGTAACATCACCAGAATATGGAACTCGTATTCTAGGGAGGGAACAGACAGTGACGAGGGAAAAAAATAATAATGTGACTTTAGGTGGTGATACATGGCAAGGATTGTAAGAAATAAGCAAGGAAAGGAGGTGTTGTTCTCTATCGGTGGTCAGGGAAGACTGCTCTGAGGGAGTGACATGTAGGAGGTCCCTGACTGAAGTGAGGGAGTTAGCCATCTGAAATTTGGAAGGAATCAAGTTCCAAGGCAGCAGAATATCAAGAGCAAAGTCCCAGTGGCTGGAATAATCTTCATTTATCTGAGGCCCAAGGAGCAGAGTGATCAAGGGGGCAAATGGTGAGACCTGAGGTCTCAGAGTCAAGCAGGGATCAGGTCACAGGATCTACGGGCCAGAACATGATGTTAGGATCTAATTCTTTGGAGTGAGATAGGAAGCCACTAGGGACTGGGGGCAGTTAGGAGGCTGTCCAAGCAAGAGCTGTGGGAATGGCATAGAGATGGGGAACTGATTAAATGTGGGTTCAGTCCCAGCTCTGCTTTCAATCAGCTAGCTGCAAGACTGTGAGCAAGCTCTTTTACCCTCCAAGCCTCAGCCCCCTCTCTACAGAATGCAGCTGATTACACCCACCTCCCAGAGTTGTTAAGATAATTAAATAAGATTAAATACATAAAGCACAGCATGCAATCTGCCTGAAAGTAATTGCTCAGCAAATGATAGCTCTGGTTATCCTAAATTTTCCTCAAGGCCTGCCCTCCACCTTCCCACCCCCATAGACAGGAAGGGCTTCTGGGGCAGCCTCCTAGCAAAGGGCACTTTGTGGGGCCTTGACCCCTGCAGGGCTTTTATTTTTCAAACTGTTTTATTGTGCAAAGCTGCTGGGCCCTACACCAGAAGCCACTGCACTACAGCCTGGAAGCAAATATACAGAGTCCTTCTGCTCAGCTCATATCTCTTAGGATGAGTGGGCAGGGCTAGTAGGAACGACTTATGAAGAAAAGATGCTCTGAACTGCTGCCCTAGAGGTCATAACTGAGTCCTAGATAGAGGGATAGGCACGCAGATCCACCTGCGAGGCCAAGGCTTCCAGGTGTGCACTGAAGTGCTCATTAGGGGAGTATGAACTGGGGAGGCTGAGTGGGCTCACCAAGAAAAACAGCCCAGTTCCCCTCTCCCCATTTCCATAGCCATTACGAAAGCACCTAGCACAGCTCCAGGCAAGGAGGAGGTGTGCAGAAAATACCGTCACCGTCACCGCCCCCACTCTGCAGAGGCAGAGAAATTTGTAGGGAAGGAGCCTGGCAGGGCCTTGACCTGAGCTTACCTCATCTTCCAGGAACTCTCTGCTTCTCTAACACCTTCCCTTGAAAGGATCTTCTACCTTTCCAGAGCTCTCGACCAAAAGGAGCCTCCAAGTGATACTAGGAAATAGGTGCTGTGAATCTGACCCACCCCTTGCCTCTGTCCTGACTCAGCCCACGACATCACTCCAATTAAAACTTGAACCCAGCCAGGCAGCACTCTCCAAACTTAAGAAGCCAGCACCCTGCTGTGTAGGAGGGCAGAGTCATGGGGAGCAAGGAGCCTTTTGTGGCTGGTGGGAGCAGGCAGACAGAGAGGTGCAATGCGGAGTCCCTCCCCCTCATCTTGACAGCTGGTTCCTGCAGGAAGCGCCAAATGGAACACGCGTGCCCTCTACTGGTCAGAGAGGTCAACCACCAAGTCCCAACTGCAGAATAAAGGAACAGGGAGTCAGTCACTCAATCAGAGTAAGCCAGAGTGGGGACCCTCAGGAATTATAGATCTAGCCCCATGGTCTTACCAAGGGGGAAAATGAGGCCCTGAGAGAGACACAGAGGATGGGGCAAGCTGGGACCAGAACCATGGTTCTTGACTCCTAGTCCAGGACGCCCACTTCAGCCTGAGTCCTCACCAAGATCCCAAGGCTCAAGACAAGGGCCTCAGGCCTTTCAACAGTCCAGGCTCTCATTACAGACAAGGAAACCATTGCAGAAAGGTCAGATCTGTGAGCAAAATCCTGGTCTCTTGATGAACTGTGCTGCTTCAAGAAAGTAGCCAAATCCACAGCTAGGGCCACCAAAAGACATCATAATTACAACAATGTGCTTACTGTGTGCTAGGCATCATTTAAGCACTCTATAGATATTAGCTCATTTAATACTTACAACAATACTATTACGCCTCCACTTAGCAGATGAGAAAACTGAACATAAAGCAATTAAATGAATAGCCCAAGTTCACAGCTAGTAAGTGACAAAGTTAGAATTGAACCCAGGCTACAGGGCTCCAGACAGAGGGTTGAGGGATTGAGGCTGGGTGGGGGTGTGATTGTTCTTCCAAGGCCTTCAACTGTCTACAAAGCAGGTCCAGCCCCTCCCTTCCCCTATCCCCACTCTAGGCAGGCTGGCCAGAGGGAAATCCTTCTATTTAAAGGAAACTCCATACAAGGGAGCCTACAGTCTTCCTGGTTTTCGGTTTAGGACCAGGTCTAGGGCCTGGGTCTCCTAACTTCCAACTAACAGAAAGGAAATGATGATCAACAGGGGTGCAGTAACGATGCAGCTTTTGATCTTAGTTCCAAAACATTACCACTGCTAGGCCTCCCCATTTTCTCCAAGGCACATCTGGCCCCTCAGACTCCACGGCATCCACTGTTCTAACTGGCCCATTTTACAGAGATCATAAAAATTTGTTCATCTCCTGCCAAACACTATCTCCTACAGAGAATGGAAGTTAATTCTCTTCACTCATTTTTACTTATGAGGTAGGTTTATTTTCTTCTTGGTGGAGAGAGACAGAGACAGAGACAAGGGGGTGGTTAGAGAAAGAGAGAGAGAGAGAGATTGAGAGAGAGAGAGAGAGTCTAAACAGAGAAATTATTTCCCTGACCTTCTGGATCATACTGTTCCCTGGGGCAGCCCTTGCCTCTCAGGCAAGTATGACACCTAGCCCCTATCTCCAACACTTCTTACCTGTCAGACCTACCCCCACGGGGTCCCCCCTCCCGGCCCAGTCCACCCCCATGCACCCTGCTGTCAGGATGAGTGGGAAGAGATCCCACAATGCACCTCTCTGCCCTGCTCCTGCCAGCCACAAAAGGCCCCTCACTCCCCATGGTTCTTCCTTCCTATACAGCAGGGGGAATAACTCACCCCCAAACCTCCACTGGCTCCCTGTTGCTTTCAGGATCAAGTCCGGGTTCCTGGGCACAGCTTCCTAGCCCTTCACCATCTGGGACAATCCGACCTGCTGGCTTCATGCACCACCAGCTCCCAACCCTCCACGCTTCCTCCACTCCAATGACCCCAGAGTTCTTACATTTCCTAAAAACGCCACCAGCTTTCACTCTTCCTTCTTTTACACCTTTGCACGTGTTTTTACTTCGGATAGGAAACTAGTTCACCCTCTGCCCCTGGGGCCCTTCCACTTATCCTGCAGATTCCAGCTCATAAGGCATTGCCTCAGTGGCAGCCTCCCCACCGCCTGTGCCCTCTCCCCAGCCCTATTCTATCACTTCCACTGACTTGAAGACAGAATGGCATAGCGGCCAAGTCCACAGCTCTAGTGCCTTGATCTGATCTTAGGCAAGATAGTTAACCTCCCAGCATCTCAGTTTCTTCATCTGTAGAATGAGGGATAATAATAGGACCTACCTCCTAGAACTGTTGTAAGGATTGAATAACTTAATATTGTATAAAGCTCACAGCAGTGTCTGGCACATAGCCCAAAACAAAGGTGAACTGCCATTATCATCATCAGCATCATCAGCATCATCATCATCATCATCACAGCACATACAAGACTGAGTTGTTATTTATTCATGTGCCTGTGTCCCTCCAGAGGCTCTGGGGAATTGATTCATATTTATCCTGGTATCCCTGGACCTATAACAGCTTGTGACACACAGTGGGCACTCAACAAAAGTTTGTAGAAGGAAGGGAAGGCATTGTCCCCTCTGTGTCTGTGTCCCTGCCCCCACCAACAGATATGTGCAGTGGGCTTGAGTGAGGACCAGATTCCACTTCTAGGCCTCCCGTACCACGACCCAAACTTTAGTAACCAGGCCAGTGACTGCAGAACCAATGACCTTGAGAAAAACTCTAGGAAAGCCCAGTCATTTGGATTGTTTCTAACAAAAAAAATAGTCTCACATGCTTCTGTCACAGTAGGTTGCCCAGCTTGTCATTCTCATAAACTCAGACCCGACATAGTCTCCTCCCTTGTCACTTGTAGTATCCCTCCACCCTGAGGACTGAAGCTACTACAACTCCCAAAGTCTCACCTCAGCCCTCAGCCTTGGAGTGCCAGGGCACGCCTCATCATAACACCAATTAAGTTCAAGTTCGACATCTCCCTTCCTTCATTCTCTTCTCTACCAGGTTTGCAGAGGCTTTAACTTCCTTCTATCACCACCTCACAGCCTCCACACCCTGACCTCTTCACCCCAAACTCCATCTTCCCCAAAGCCACACCTGGGTCTTGATCACCAAGCCCCCTTCCTTTCTTCACTTAGATAAGGTTCTCACAAAGCTGCCTCCCTCCCACAGGAAGCTCTTCCTAACTCCCAAAGGAGGTCACCTGTCCTTCATGCCTGGCTCCTTACACACAGGCCAATCACTCAACTTTTTGCCTGTACTTGAGAATCTTTGATCAATTAGTTTAATATAGCAGTAAGATTTCTTGAACATTGGGGGCAGTTGAATTCAATGCTTACGAACATGCAGAAGTCAAACAAACAGAGGTTCCAATCTCAGTTCACCTTAAACTTGACATGTGACCTTATTGGGCAAGTTACTTAAATTCTCTGTACCTGTTTCTTCATTTGTAAAATAAGGATAATAGCAGTACATACCTCATACGATTACCGTACCGACTTCTGTGAGGGACAAAACAAGATATGCAGTGCCTGGGCACATGAAATGCTTTTATAAAGTTTAGCTATCATTGAGCACTTGCTATGTGCCAGACTCACAAAAAAACCCAGTAGATATTCTCCAGTTTACCCATGAAAGAACTAAAGCTCAGAGGGGTCAAGTAACTTGACTATGGGTATGAAGTACATGACAAAGGTGGCTTTAAACCCAGATCAGATTCTAAAACCCATGTTCTTTGTATTGCCAAATATTCACCCTCTGTTGTTAATAAGCCCAAAAACTCAGCAAAGCTAATAAGATTTATCATGCAAGCTTCCAGGGGCTCTCCACTGCCTCCATTTAGCAATCCTGCCAAATAACACAGCGTAGCACACCAGAAAGACAGAAAGAGAGAGAGAGAGAGAGAGACTGTGATGGGGAATATTCCCACTGACAATAAGTTTAAGAGCAAGAATGAAACTACCTATAAAGCAATCTTGCAAATAACTCTCTAACCCACCTACCCACCAGAAAATCCATGAATGGTCAAATTTGAAATTAATATTTGGGTCACTTGACAGGGCAGCTACAAGGGCTGGGCTGGACAGTTCTGAGATATGGTCTTAAAGGGCCACAACTTCATTGGGCCCATGGGTTCCTTCTTCTTTCTTTATTATTTTTCTGATCCCTGCACTTGACCCCTCCTCCACTCCATCTGACCCAAGCCAAAAGTGCCTTCTCCATCAATACACACTGCAGCAGGTCTCACAATCCAGAGATCATTCCTCAAGCCTGCTTCCCATCCACTCTCCCACACATTTCAAAAAATCGATGGTACAGATTTCCAGGAAGCCAGACCCAAACTCAACTTTCTGCCTTCAACTGCCCCCCACACTCTCTCCTAACATTCTAAATCCACCAGATTCCAAAGATCAAGGTTCACAAAAGAAACCCCTTAAGAGAGCATTAAGTCTCAGGACTCCATATTTGCAGCAACTTTAAAAAAATCCGTGAAGAGACTGCAGATGGATCTAACCCCCACTCTCACCCTACCCCACACACACACAGGTCCACTTCAGGGAAACCTAAACAAAAATCACCACCCTTGTCATTCCCGAGCAACACTCAGCATTTCTGACCAGTGTTATGCAGTCCCCAGCAATGTCTCCCCCAGTTCCAGCACCTCCCTTCGCTAGGACACTGAAGAGAAGCTCCAACAACGTTTTTTTTCCTGCCCCCTGTCCCTATCCTCTTCCAGTTGTGGCTGCACTTCTGGACCCGCAGGAGCATGCAGATGTGCAGTCTAACTTACCCAAAGAGAAAAAGAGACTGAGCCCCGTGAGACTGAAGGCAGAGCGAGGTAGCCAGGCATCTTTGTGCATTTTCAGACACTGAGATGTTAGTCGGGATATGGGAGAGGGAAATTTGAGGGGCCAAGGGCTATAAGGGAAGAATAGTTAGATGCTAAAAAAAAAAAAAGAAAAATGCACGGATGTACTTCAAAGACACATACAACATTAAGGAAGCTTTATTTCCATCTCTCTAATATGGCCGGCCTGTGTGTTCTTGCTAAAAAGAGAGAGGGAGTGTGTAAGAGAGAGAGAGAGAGAAAAGGTGGGGGGGCGGCAGCTGGGATGGAGTAAATTTTGTGGTTGCTGGATTTTTAAAAGTAGGTGGGAGGGTATAAAAAAGTCTTTCTGAAAAGAACAGTTCCCCAGAAATTTTTACCCTCCAAAACAAGAACTAAAGCAAATCCTGCTTTTCTTCTTAACTTGGATAATTGTTGGGTTTTGAAAGCTGTTAGAGGAAGCTCTTTATTTCTAAGCTGCTGTAAGGGGGAGGTAGGGAACTCCTTTTGTCATTTAATAACACCCAAAAAAGGAGACACTTGTTTTTATGTTATTTGGAAAGAGTTCTGGGAAGTGAGTTGGGGAGACTTTCAGGAAGTAAGGACTTCCTCATTTTTCTAGCATTTCTGTTGAACACAGAACATGTTCAAGCAAACTGATATAAAAACACCTAAGAGACCTTACATTCAAATGTAACATGAATCAAATCAACAGTAGAAAGACATTTTCGAGACAATTGGGAAAAAGTAAATATGGACTATTAGACTATATTAATGAAAATTTCTTAATTTTATTGGGTGATAATATTGTGGCTATATTCTTTAACATCTTTATCTGTTATACACAATGGAGCATTTATAGGTGAAATAATATGATGACTGAAATTTACTCTAATATAGTCCAGAAAAAAAAGAGGTGGAGGAGGTAGGTGACACTAGACTGAACATTGTTATTGATTGTTGAAACTGGTGACTAGTGCAAAGGGTTCATTACACAGTTCTCTCTTCTGTTATGTATGTTTGAATTTTTTTTCCTTTTGAAAAAGGAAGAGAAAATAGGCTAAAACTACATGTAGGAGAACGTGAGGTGGAGTACCAAGGAGGCCCTAAGCAGAGAAAGTCACCCGACTCTTCCAGGGAGATATTTAAGTAGAACACAGGTTCTCATGCAGCAATCACATGCACTTGTGATGCAGCAAAGAGGGAGCATATAATATTTTTGAGCATTAACTCTGCACCAAACACTTTATATATGATACCTCAACTTAAATGTAACGCTGGGATAGGTGATTCCTTCTTTAAAAAAAAAAGAAAAAAAAATTGCAAATGAGGAAACAAGTCGACAGAACTTAACACAACCAACTTACCTACAGTAGTAGTAGGTCAGAGCCACGATTCAAACTGAGGTTTGTGTGAAACACTGGGTATTTCCAGTATTCCACACTGCCTGTCACAAAGGGGAGAACACATGAGACCATCCCTCAGGTTGTTTAGAGACACAGAAGAGAAGACTGGAATAGATAAGCAAGTGACCTCTGTAGTGTGGTCCCCAGACCAGCATCACTGTAAAAGAAGATGCTAAAGGGCAAGGCATGGAGAAACAAAATGAGAGACCAGCACAGTGCTTGGCTCGGAGCAGACACTCAATAAACAGGTGACGCTAGCTGCAAAGGGGCACCCCTAAATGAATTAATAAAGTTGGAGAGGGAATGGGGGAAAGAAGACATTATGACGAGGGCAGCGAAATCTAGCATAGGCCGCTGAAGCTGTTCTAGACTGGGGAGGAGCGAAGTGGGCCGGATATTGGTGGCAGTTGCTGATGGCAGAGGGGTGGTGAGGAGACCTCTGTGGTTCTCCACCACACCAGAGGTGGCTGTCCCTGCCTGATCTTGCACAGACTCTGTCCCCAAAGTGCCTCTGTCACTTTGCTAGAGACTGGTGGCTGCTGGCTCATCCACAGGGTGCAGGCCACGGGAATGAAAACCAGGGAAGGAGAAGAGTGGAAGCCTGGGGGAAGTGTCCTCCAGTGGCCAGGTTTAGTCTCCTCAGGCCCCAGGTCTCCTCTGCTATCATCAGTGGCCAGGCTTGCAAATGTGTCTGGAGGGTGGACTGGCACAAGCAGGGGCCTCAGCTCCCACTATAGCCCTTCGGTCAGGTCCCAGGCTGCAGCATAGCTACCCATGCTGCCGCAGACACATGTCAGATACAGAGTTTTGGTTTGACGTAGCCGGCCTCCTCTTTATTTTTTAATACAGCTGAAGGTGGCTGTGAGGCCCAGAGAAGTTGCTTCTCCAGCTCGCTTGGTCTCATACTGGGTCCAGAAGCTTCTATTTGGGTGATATCTGAGATAAGAAATGGATACAGAAGTTCCTCTGCTTCTAGCCAGTATTCGACTATGAGAAACTAAGTACAGGACTTATAACAGAATAGCCTTTGTCCAACTGAGCCTTCCAGAACCGAGGGTAAGAGGTGCCAGATCAGGGGTGAGGTACCCTCTCAACGTGAGGCAGGAGAGCTACCCCAGGACCTCCCCACAGCTTACTTGGGCCTCCAGATGCCCATTTGCTCCCAAAGAGTAAGTCTTCCCTAGGAACTAATAAAAACCGTGGAAGCAGAAACTCAAAGAAGTATTTTGCAGAATGAAGACACCAGTATCAAAGACAGGCTATTTGGGGAGTAAAGCCTTATTTTTGGCATTTCTACCCAGTGCCTACATTTTATTAGATAACACTCAGTTACCTGCCTTGCTAAGAGAAGCAGAATTACAAATAATCCAAAGGAAGTTAGTTTCTTGGCCTTTAGAATGCCTAGCTGAGGCCACAGAGAGCCTCCCTAGTTACATTTACCTTAAAGCCTCATTTCTCAAAGTGTAGTCCCCAGACAAGTATCATCAGCATCACCTGGGAGCTCCTTAGAAATGCAGAGTCACAGATCCCACCTCCGAAGAAATCAGAATCTGCATTTTTAACAAGATCTCAGGTGCTTCTGAGCACATTAAAGTTCGATAAGTATTGCCTTCAACTAAGATTAAAAGGTTTGCACCCCAGGAGCAAGGAGCAATGTGAAGCCAGGTTTGGGGGGTTGGAGAGAAGGAATTGGTAAGCAGGAGCAAGTTTAGGATTAAATGCTGGCCTTAGTAGGTCTGCTTGGGAATAACAAGGTAGGGATCCATTCCATTCGCCTCTCTTCTCTGCCCCATTCCCTTCTCAAACCATTCCATACCTGGTGAGGTTTCTCTTACCCCACATAGGGCTTCACGTCTTGATGTCTTTGCCTTTGCAGTTCCCTCTTCTAGAAATGCCTCTCTCCTCTTGCCTGCTCAGCAAGCTCCTAGTCTTTCTTCCAAAATCTGCTACAATATCACCAACTTCTTATCTTCTACATACTCCTTCTCTCTGTGCTCCTGTGACACTGGGTACATTCACTCATTTGTTTACCAATTCCTTCATTCAACAAGCTCAAACATCAACTTAATGCCCCATATGTGCCAGACACTAGGCTAGAAACTAGAGACCCAGAAACAAATGAGACACAGTTTACCCTTTGACGGCTCACATTCCAGGCAGGGAGAGAAATGTATAAACTCCCAATACAGCATAATGAGAACAATCCCATTTACTGAGGGATGGGATGAGAATAAAGGTACACCTGGTATTTCTTGGGTCTCCATGTTAACAGGAGTCGGAGGGTGTTATTATTTTTGTTCACACTTCCTACCTCCCTGACTACAGCTCTATAAAAATAGAGATTGTGCTTATTCTTCTGAGTCTGTGCTGGGCCTCTACTGGTCCGTGAGCAGATGCAATGAGTGGATGTCTTTTATATCCAGGAAAAGGGCAGGACCTCCAACAGCCTGACTTTGCACAGCTTTACACAGTGGTCGGACTAGGGCTGGGCAATAGGTCCAGCAGCATCCTGCACACACCGTTCTCCATTCCCTGGGGTCTACATTCAATGAGGGTTTGTCCTGCATGGGATCAGATGCTTCAAAGCTCACAGAAAAGACCTAAAGCAGGATCTCTAAGAGCCTAGGAGCTCTAGGAGAAATTAAAGCCTCATACCTATAAAATAACTAGAGAACATCAGAAAATAAAATCTGGTAAGTGTAGAGACATCTCGGAAGATGTGAGAAATAGGAGATCACGGTCAGACTAAGCAGGACCTTGAAGGAGTATTGATTTGAGCAGACAAGAAGAGAAAGGGAATTCCAGGCAAGGGAACACCAAGAGCAAAGGCTTAGAAGCAGGAAAGACAGGAGTATATGGAGCAGAGAGTTCCTGTCATGAAAAAAAAAAAAATGGGATGTGTGGATGGGTAGCCAAGATGTCACCTGAACTCAGGAGTCCATGAACATACGATGTAGAGTTCAAACAGGTGCTCCGAAAGTTCTGGGACACATAAATCTCTATTGCTCTCAGCATCTCAGCTTTCTGAGAAAACTCTGAGTTTCTTTATTTTCTTTATTTTTCAAAACATAAAGATGTTTTGAGAGTTAGATTTTACAGAAGTGGTAGTGAATTGCCTGATTTCCCTTGAGGAAGACATGACCACATTTGCAAAACAACTGTCCAGGACAAAAGGTCAGTAGTCCTGAGAAACTTTGTTTATGCTTAGTAAGAAAATAACTGGTCTGTGTTGGGATAAAACTTACAATCTAAGGTTGTTTGGCTCTCAGTAACAGAGCTAATTCAGTGGCAGCATGACCCCTGCCAACCACAACACACACACACACACACACGCACGCACACACACACACACACACACACACACACACACGGATTTTTATAAAAGAAAATTGCCAATGTAGACATGTAAGCATACTGATCAGCCAAGAGGAGAAAAAGAGTGGGATGGCGATGAAGAACAAAAGACTGAAGGGCTGGCCAAAGGCTGCAGCCTTTTTAAGAAGGTACATTGTCTACAGGTCCCCAGTGGACAGATTGAACTGTTTTCAATTTCAATAGTCCACTCTGATGCTACTAGATTCTCCATAATTCATGAGTGGCCCCACCCCCTCCACCCTTAGGCTGCTTTCTGTTGGCAAAAGCCTGTGTGTCTCTGCAAGTCTTTGAATATGGGAGCATCTGGTGTTCTAGGGACTTAAAATACCACAAATTCAAGTAACAAAAGTGCTTGCGAAAGGATCTACTACAAAGAGATCCAGCTTGCTCCATCTCCAGCAGTTTTCCTGCCCGTCAGAATATCATCCCTCAGAGTTATGTAAAGCCCTTCCCTAAACTCAGCTTTCTAACTCTCTTTTTGGATTAGAAGAATATTGAGTATTTGGGGTTTAAGGGCATCCTGCACATAGAAATAAAAAATTAACAAGAAATGGGGACTGAATCACCAGAAGACAAATCAAACTGGGGAAAACACATTAGAATGGAATGAAGGGCTCAGACCAGGCACTAGTCCCTAAACAACCTTATTTAGTCCTCATAAAAAATCCTATGAGTCTCTATTTCATATATAGGGAAAATAGCTTCAAAGAACTGAAGTAAATCCTGAAGTAAATTGCAATGCTGAAAAGGGAGTAAGAGGCAGAGCCTGGATTTGAACCAGGCCTATTTGGCCTTGCAGCCCATTCGCTGTGCCATATGCCCCTATGTTCCTGGATGTAACAGACAACCATCCCTAAGAGAAGGGCATGTGAGAACAGGCAGGTCTCTTTCACGGTCCCCTGCAGAGCTGTTTTGGTTTTAGGCAAAATCAGTATTTGATAGCTGTGGACTTCCACTCTCAACTTTGACTCTATCCTATGTACAAGAGGAAGGCTTGCAGGGAGGTAGAACTGGAAAAGAGAGGTGGGCTTCCTTTTCTTCCTCCTCAGTTACAACTGCTGAATCCAGAATAGAAGCCAAACTTTGAACCAAATTCAAATTTGGGCAAGTCAAACTTGGGAGGGGTGTGCCCACACTTCCACAATCAAAACACCCTCTGCTCAGTCCACTCTCCAGCTCTTATCCCAATTATCCTCTTTGACCTAGAACGACAAGTGTGAAACCACCATCCACCCACCTGGCTCTGTATCCTGAAGGTCCTCATTCTATGCTCACAATATTTGAGGAAGTAGAAAAGGGGCACTTAGCCCAGAACAGCACGTTACTTAATAGCTCAAAAATGAAACCAATTCCTCTCCACGAACTATTAGGATATAAAACAGTCCTCCTCCCACTTCTACTTATCATGTCATTACATGTCCCCTCTCTGATACTTCTTGGACAGGATATCACCTTAAATACACATATTGTAAATCATTGACATATTCCTTATTTAGAGCTAATAGGTAAGAGGAAACATTTAATGACTCTTAGCTGTGATTGAACAAGAACAAAAAAAGGCTATAGGCTTCCAAGTGGAGACCCAAAAACAACTGCTAAAAGAGAAAGAGTTAATAACAGGTATGTTATGAGAGGGTCCATTTGGAGAGTAAAAGGAATCTTTAAATATATAGCTCCACTTATAATTGTATCAAAAATTAGAGACCCATAAAGGATCTCTTTATCATAGCCTGAATAGCTAAGTGGGAAAGGTGGGATGCAGAGAATGCGGAAGGGCCTGCAACCATCAAGGAGAGGAGACCTGAGCTGAGCCCAGGCTAGAAATAGGAGCTCAGTACCAAAGGATTTTAAAAACTAACCTTATTAAGTCTTACAACAGTAATCAAAAAGTAGAAAAACCATTTCAAACCAAGAGTTAAATCAATGGCTGTCCACTTTGGCAATCCATGAGTGTCACTTTTGAAAAAGACAAATGCCCAAGCTCCACCTAGGAATTCCAGGACACCTTTGGTAAGGCCCGGCAAAGAGCCACCAGCCATCTGATACCCAGCCAGAATTAAGAAGCCCTGGGTTAAACCCTAGAGCTGTATTCGTACCCTACTTCCACACCCCCACCACAAATTTTCCCAAGACCAAAACCAGTTCCTAGCATGTTAAGTCACAGTATGTATGTCTTTCCTCCTGTCACTTCAGTTGTTTCAGGAATTTCTGACTATAAGTTCCTCACCAACATTCCACAGGCCCCTCAGCCAGGGTATAAAAACCAGGCTGATTTCCACAAACCACATTTATTTAGGGATAATTTGCCAAAGGAATCATTTGAGTTGGTTTTTATTTCTGCATTCTTCCCAGTACTCAGCTATAAAGAATGCCATCCAAGCAGAGGGTCCGATCCGATGGAGTGCTCGAGGCCGCTGCAGCAGCTCAGCCAGGCTCCCCAGGGCCAGTGTCCCACTTCAGAGGGACCAAGTCCAAGCTCTTCCTTATCAGGGCCTGTTCCTCCAGAGCTGCCCCATCATTCTGCCAGCCTCTGAACTCTCTCTTCAGCCCTTTGGCCAACCAGTGAAGCAGGAGGACAACTGGGGAGGAGGGGGCTATAATAACTGGTACGGAGACTCAGAACATACAGAGGAGAGTCTCTGCCACTGCTAAGAATGAAGGGAACTCGCTTTTCTTCTCAAAAGGCTTGCTCTGTTTTTCACATTCCCCCAGTTGACTTTTTTTCAAGTTGGTTATTTGGTGTTGACCTCAGAGATGGCCAAACTGGGTGCTGCAGGGGAAGGAAAAAAGCAAACAAAGCATATTTGTAAAAAGTATTTCAATCATAAAAGTTACCACTTATTGAGCTCTTTCCATCTATCTGGCCCAATTCTGAATTTCACATGTACTGTCTCTTTTGATCCTCACCACCTAGGAAGTAGGTATTATTATTCCCATTTTAAGGATAAGGAAACTGAGGCTCAGAGAGGCTAAGTTACTGTACTGCCCAAAATCATCTGAGTCAGGATTTAGACGCAGGTGTGTCCAACTCCAAAGCTTATGATCTTAACCACTGTGCTGTACAGCCTCAGAAAGAGGACACAGTGTGGTGCCCCCCTCATTCAAGTAAATTTAATCAATTCAACAACAACAACAACAACAAAAATCAAAGGTTCTATATTATCCCTGCTCCCTATCAGATAACACCTCTATTCCTGTGGTCTCAAACAAGTGGCCTGCAGGCCAGAATTTACCCACAGGCTTATTTAATTTGGGACATAGTGTTTCAAAATAATTTAAGCAGCCTCTAAAGGCCTTTGAGTTTGTAGCCCTGACCTCTCATCACACTCGCTTTATTGAATCCGTTTCAAGAGGACTGAGGTGCTATTTTCTGCAGAGTTTAAATCACAAGCACCTAGCACTTGGGGAAGGTAGCTTTGAAGACGATTCACTCCTACATCATCTCTATCTCACAGACTTTCTGCAAATAGCATCATCCTGGTGGGTGACACACTCAGCAGTAGCCACAATACAGCTGTATCAGCAGGTCTCTAAAAGGCAGGATGAGGCCTGGCAGTTACTATAGCATCACATGTCAATAATGGAAGAAGGATGTGTGTGTAGAGTGGGGATGACTATATTCAACTACAACTTCAGAGCAGAGCTACTGTTTCACTTGGTGGAAGCAGGCCAGGTCTCTGATCTCACACTTCCCTGGCAGAACCCTTCTCTACTGCAATCATCAGGGAGTCATGTGTCCTCAGTGCTGGTGCAACCGGAACAAACAGAAGCCATCACCCACCCCCACAGAGGAGGCCAGCTTTCCTGAACCCAGCAGAACATTGCACCCTTCATGGCCCAGTGCCTATAATTAGTCTACAAAGGGCATCGTGTCCCTTGCCAGCTCACTCCTTTTGTCCTTACACTACTCACTATACTCCAGGTGCCTTTTCTAGGTGCTGTACTTCCCTGGGGATGGAGCAAAGAGGAAGGAGCAATCTTATTATTATAAGGAATTCAGCATGCAGCCTTCTTGGCAATTAGATTATGCCAAGGCATAAGTCACAGAACAACAACAAAATAAAATCTAAGAGAGTTGGAAGGGCCCTTTTAAGAAAAAGGAAAATAACCCGTGTGACACAAGGCTTGTCATGGGTCTATGGCGCCCTCTTTATTAGGTCATATTTAACCAGGGTTGTACTGATGAGGCAGAGACACCTTGCCCTACCCCCAGTGAAGGTACCTCTTTTCACCACTAAAATCAATCACCCCTAGCCTTAACACCCTTAATACTTGAGACTGGGTGTGAAGGCAAGTTTGATATTACTCTTCTATCCAGCAGAGCTTCAGGTTCTGACTTTCCTACTACTGAGAAAAGTCTCTGCCCTTTGCAGGGTGACTTAGCCACACTTCCCACCACACCCACCACCCCACCAGTTTGTCAACCCCCCAGCCCCTCCCACCTCCAGACACCTGGCTCGGCTGCACCCAGAGCCATCCTCACCATGGTCATGTAGGTGGCCTCTGACTTTTCACTTGATTCTTCTTCCTCAATCACCTCCCGTGTAGTTATTGAGGAGTAAACATGTTTCTGGGGGGCAGGGGGGAGATGGTATAAAAATCAGCAGATCTTAGAAGCCAGAGAAAAGGCCAGCTACTACTATTCACAGGACATCAACCACCAAAATCTCCAGGTTCAGAGAGCTAGAGAATGATCATCAATAATGATAACTCAGTTCTCAGTCATCCCAAAATTAAGAAAATTAACTTGTCAGCAAAGAGCACTAATCTTAAGAACCAAATTCTTTGCTTCAAAAGCCAAACAGTCTTTGTTTGATGGGTGTTTAGCTAGCGGCAGGAATCCTCATCTTGCCAAATCATATCTACTCTGTGGTTATTTCCTTCTAATTAGAGTCTTGGCAAGATGGCTGGTGTTTGTCAGCAGCTAACTGTCGTCGTTTCAAAGGGTTTATATGGCAGGGACAGCCCTCTCTGAACCTCACATCTGTGAGGTTGGTGGTACTTTCTGATTCCCATTCCTGTCACTATTTGGGGAAGCAATGTCATTCAGTGAAAAATTCTTGGACTTCTGGGGGTCCCTGTACTATGTTTGGGTCTCAAACAATCCAAAAGATAGAAAGGTAAATATTCCAAAAGGGGTTTTTTAAAGCTAAAGAAAAAAAAAAGAAAAGGAGTTCAAGGAAATTAATCCATTTCTCAGTCCTTAATAGCAATCATTTATAGCTCTATTACAAACTAGCATGAAAGAAAAAGTGCTTCATGAGCCTCTCTTTCTAAAAGTCCCTGAATATTTCATCTTAACCATCAGCTCTTTCACTTAACTCCCAAATGTATCATAATTCACCCTTATATTTACACAGCGCCTTGTAGATTACGAAGCACTTGTATATCACCACATTATTTAAACCATACGAAAGAGCAAATATGCTTGTCCTTATCTTGGTTTTACTGTTAAGAAAACTGAGGCTTGGGGAGGTGACAGAGCTGGACTTGAACTGGGGCTTTCTGACTCCAAGTCCAGTGCCCTTTCCTCAGATACAACCAGGATGTGCTGCCCAGGTTGGGCTGGCCTCACTCCCTGGGGATTTTTCCCCCAGTGTTGAAGATTTCCTGAGCCCCTGCTCTGCTCCATTCACTAGTATGCATGCAGAGACATCGTGATGAGTTAAGACCCAGGCCACAGAGGAATGATAACAAACCGCCTGATACTAGATGATATCCACCTCACCCTCACTGGGCACAACAGCAAAATGGCAGTGTTTTTCTCTTACCTCTGGGTGAGCTTTCTTTGTGTCCTCCAGGCTTTTTACCAGGGCTGTGGAAGTTACTGAACTGCAAGGCATAAAAAGCATGTGGCATTAACTGGCCAGCACTGTATATTCAAGAGGTGCCTACATGAGACCCCTCAGAGCTTTGTGAAGAGACAGACCCCAGAACAGGAGCTAGTCTCTCTAGACTCCTACCCAGCTCGCCTTGAAATCTGAGAAGTGTTACCGCTTTTGCGGAGAGCAGGAAGGCATTCTGAAGATAGTTTGGGCTGAGCAACAGCTTTCACTTTTCTATTATCACTCTAACAACTTTCTGTCTATAATAATGCTAGGTGAATGAACAGAGGAACCATGGGAAGGTGTAGCTCTACCAGCAGAGGGCAGCAGAAGCTCAGTGAGATGTCAGTTCAAAGGGCCCCTGGCCTTTCTGAAGCAGGAGGCCAAGTGGAATAAATCCCCACAAACATCCCTAACTGTGAGCTCTGGCCCTTTCTGGCTTTTGGCCTTTGATATCTTGACCATTTGCCTTCTGCATCTGTCACTACTTTCTTTTTTTTCTATTTTGGCCTAGAGCTTTAGAAAAGAAAATCAGAGTTAAAGCTAGAAAACATATTTTTTTGTCTCAAAGTAGAAATATTTTTATTGTATTTTCTGATTATGAAGTTGTATATTCTCATTGTAAAATAATTCAAATAATACATAAATGTAGACAGTTGGAGGCTGAAGTTCCAGTAAACCACCTATACTCACAGGACCCACCTTCTCATTTATCCCAAATACCACTGATATTATTTTAAAATTATCCTTCCAAACCTCTCTCAATGCAAGCATACTCTCACAAAATATAGTATATATGCTGCTGAATGAGCATTATATAATTTTCTTTTTTATAAATATACTATATATTCCGTAATATAGAATTGAACATCTTTCCGTGTCATTACATTGAGGGTTGTGCAGTATCTCATTGAATGGAATACTGATTCTTTGAATCATCACCTTTCTGACAGACACAGGATGATTTCAATTTTTAATTATAATAAATGCTACAGTGACCATATTTATACACATATCTCAGCATATAACTCTGACTATTTCTTCAGAATATACTAGTAGTCATGGAAGTGCTGCTCTTCATTTTGAGAAAAACTGAGACCCAGAGAGGGGAAGTGAGCTGATATGAAACCCAGATTGTCTAACTCTCAGTTCAGTGCTATCAGCATGCCCAGAGCAAAGACTCTCAGAGAAACCAATCAATTTTAAAACAAGATCAGAGAGCCCCGGGGTGTGGAAGTGTAAACGTAGCTGGCATAAGCAACTTTCTGTAGAATCTATGTTCCATGGGGAAAAGAAATTCAAAAATCAGCATTACCTAGTCTTAATGGGGGCCCTTTTCCAATGACACTATCTCAACAAGCATCAATTTGCCCTAGCAATATATTTCATCAACAGTTGGGTAAACTGAGGGATGTACCTGCCAACAGCTAGTAAAACACAAGTGCCCGTGTCAGGGCATCTGGGCATTTTTGAGATACTGGCAGAACTACTTATTAAATTCAAGCCTTTAAAAATACATTTCAACAACAAATAACTTAGGACTTGAGAGCACCCATTCAAAAATAATTAGAATCTGGTCCTTTAAATAAAGTCACTGATAACCCTCAAGATCTAAGCTTCTAGATGAAGCATATATAGTGGATAATTTAAAAATCATTTTTTTTCAGGTATTGAATGGCACCATTATAGTTCTTACTTAAGATTTATACCCTTAATTATGCTCTACTTAGACCACCCTTTTTAAAAGAGCTGGTAATCTTTGTATAATACCAAAGTGAATGACGATGATGTGAAGATGTACAAGGCCTTTCACAAGCAAAGGGGCAGGGGTCACTATACAGATGATGTCTAATATGACACTATCTAAGGATGATTCTATTTTGAAATTCCCCTTTCTGTGAAAATGGCACAGTTAAGGCCCTATCACCCTCTTTCACTTCAGATTAGAGGCAGTCCCGCACCTCCAGCCTCTCAACCTAAGAGGTGAGAGCAGCCCTGTACCTCTTATTCCTGTTGGTCCTCTTCACAATCAATATCAGAACAGGAAGCAGCAAGATAGTGGCACAAACAATCCCCACAATGATCACCAGATGATTACCGCCCAGGATCTCAGGTCTGTGAGCTGCTGGAGTCACCAGTGCTTGGGAAAAGAGAAAAGCAATGAGGGCCTCAATATTCCAGAAAAGAGCTGAGAGCCCCACTGATTCTATGTCAAGTAGCAATAGATAGGTCAGGAAGTAGGGGCAGAAGTCCAGACTCCACTCAGTGTTAAAACACTAGGACTATACTGGTCCCTATTAAATTGAGAACTGAAGTCTGACACCCCTGCTTACCCCTAAAATATAGGTTAAGTTGGATGGGAGAAGAGGATAGTGCCTTACCTATATAGTTTCCTTTTGCATTAACAATTCTACCTTAAAAAGTGGTTTACCAAATGATGTAAACCACTAGATAACAGATATCTAAGATAACAGATATCTTAGAGGCTACTGCTCTTTCTAGGGGAAAGTGATTGTTTTCAAAAGGACCTATGCCACAACACTTAGCCCCATGGTCATGATACCAAGTAAGGCCCTTAGAGGCACTTCTACCCATATGGTACCCTTTATTCATTTCCTCAATTCACTCTAAATACATACATCAAAGATCTCCTGGGCATCAGATATCAGTAGACATGGAAGATACAAACATGAATAATTCATGGTCCCTGCCTCCAAGGAGAGGGACAAACATGTAAACAGAAAAATCACAGACTGCTATGGGTGCTATGATAGAAATCCACATGGAGTGCAGAGGGGCACAGAGAAAAACGAGTATCCAATTCTATGGGGAGCCAAAGATGAGAATTTGTCAGCAAAAGTTCTAAAGTTTTGGAGTCTTAGAGGAAATATCAAGTTTTGGGGAAAGACAACATGGGGAAGGACAAAGGGGACATTATGCACAAGGTCTGGAAGTCTGACAGAATAGTGCTTTTAGAAACTAAAAATAGTTCCACAGATCTGGCTCAAAGGCTGCATTGGTGGGTATGGTGGGGAATAAGGCTGGATAGGAAATAAGGGTCTAAGTCATGAAGGACCTTGATTAGCTCGATCAAGAGTCTTTCTTTTTTTTTCCTGCCGGCAATGGAGAAACCACTGAAAGATTACAAGCAGTAGAATAAATGTTCAGATGTGTAATTTAGAAAGGTGGCACTGATAGCTGCATGAAGAATGAGCAGTGGCTGAGAATGAAAGCAGAGATTAATTAGAGGCCTAGAGTCTAAGACAGAGATGAAGACGACCAGAACTAAAGTAGTGGTGATGCACTGTAAAAAAGGCAGATTCAAAGTCAATAGTAAAAATGATAGGGCTTGTTGACCTGTTAGACTGGGGGTCATGGGAAAAGGAAGAATCAAGTACAATTTCCAGGCACCTAGTTAGGTAACTGTGTAGATGGTGGTGGCAATTACTGAGGTTGAGGTGATGGGCTGGGAAGAGGTATGCGGGAAGAGGTTTGGATATGTTGTATTTGTAGTATTTGGGTGGAGTTCATATAGATATATAAAGATAGATAATGTCCAACACAGAACATATTGAATATATATAGAATGTAGTGTCCGATGTTACTGAGGTAAAGAAGGCTGACGTGCAATTAGAGTACCACTGGTGATCTAAGCTAGAGACCAAAGCAGGAAACAGAATGTGGTGCACCTGGGAGTTAATGGGAGAGGAGACAAGAGACATTACATAAAGCCCTTTAGTAAGCTATTAGGCTGCACCAAGAAATAAATATGTAACTGATTGTGATGAAGGTTGTGCAAGTCAATATACTAAAATCTATTGGGTTGTACACTTTAAATGGGTAAATTGTATGGTATGTGAGTTGTAGCTCAATAAAGCTGTTTTAAGAAAAAGAAGGATATAGGATAAGAGCTAAAGTAGACAAAATACAGATAAGAGGAAGAGTTGAGCATATTTACATGCTGAATGGTAGGGGCCAATGGAAAGTCAGAGCTTACAGAGCCACGTTGTGAGGTTTCTGAGAAGGGGGAGAGAATGCACCTGAGCACAAGGGTTCGGATAAGCCCAGGCAGAAGGGAGCTCAAGACTGCAAGGCAGAGATAAGGATGGGGGCAAGTACAGACATGTTTGTGGGTGGGGAGGCCTTGGAAGTTGAATGAGCTTGCACTAATGGCTTGCATTTTGTCTGTGAAGTGGAAATAAGATTTCTGAGAGTGAAGAAATCCATCTGTCCTGCTTCCCTCTCCAGCTGGAACCCTTTGCTATTAACAAGGAGGTGCCTCCAGAGACTTCAGTCTCTGCCAGAGGCACTGAGGTGTGTTCCATCCTCACCTCCTTCCCTACCCCCAACCAACCACAGCCAACTTTTGAAAGCCTTAGTGAAAGACAAAGTCCACAGGCCACATCCTGATTGCTAACTGGGTTATACTTTTAACTTTAACCCCTCACTTATCAACCTCTCTCAGTCAACACAATTGAGTCTTTATTCTAAACTCTGGCCTCAAAGCACAGTGTTTCCCAGAATACAGAACCTTTGACCTGAAAAACCCTCTATTTTTGGTTCTGGTCCCTTCCCGTTGTCTCTGTTTTTTGCTATCTCTCACCAGCTCAGAATCCCTTCCCCACAGATCATACAGCCTCTCCTTTGAAGCTAGGTAAAAATGACTTTGAACATAACTCCAATTCATCTCTGAGCTCCTGTATCTTTAAATTGGTAGATTGTACTAGCAATGGGTGAGGTCTGGCAGAGGGCTGGTGGTCACTAAATACTACCTCCTTTTTCTTTGACTTAACAGCAGAGCCAGAACTAGGGTGAGGCAACCAAGGTGCCCAAGGCACCAAATTTAAGGAGGCATCACTCTCAGGGTCGTGCATCACCTAAATGATGCCTCTTTCACTTTTGCACCCTAAAAGCCTCTCAGGCTTCACACTAGCCCTGGCTATGCCTACCAGCTATGAGGTCCCTCATCCCTTCCCAACCAAATGTTAGATACTTTGGGGCTGTTTCTGAATCACATGCAACACAATAGTTTTCTTGAATGTCAGGTTCCCAAGGTGGATACTGCAGGTATAACTTCCTTCATCAGACTCCTTCACTCCATTGAGCATGATGGAGCCATCATTGCGGGCGGTGTCCCCAACAAGGGTTACACGATTCTGGAAACGGCCCCGATTCTGGAGGTACCCCACAGGTACACTGAGTTTGGGGTAATGGCGCAACACAGTCTCCTCCTAGAAGGAAAAGGCAAAATGTATGACATTGCAAGGACTGGGAGTATGGGGAATCGGGGAGGGAGGTTGAGAGGCCTTGAATGTGTAGGCAGTACTGGTATTATCAGAAAGTATTAGATAACACAAAGGTATCAACACACTCATGTGTGTGGGCACGTGTAGTTGTTCCATCTGAAGAGAGGGATGAGGAAAGTAGGAATGAGGGACTTCCACTTTTTACACTTCTCCAGTAAAACGAAGTAAAAGTACACCTTTACTTTTTATGACATTTCCAGTTGGATTTCCAGTTCAGAATTCAAAAGGAAATCTAAACCATGACTAAAACTGAACTTCGAGTTTTCCCCCAAACCAGTTCTTTCTAGTCCATCCCCTTTTGGTAAATGGCAACACCTTCTTCCAGATGCTCAGGCTAAAAATTTTGGAGTCATCCTTAACTCCTCTCTTTCTTGAACAACTCACATCTAAAATCCCTCAGCAAATCCTATCATCTCTATCTTTAAAATATGTCCCAAATCCAGCTACTTCTCATGTCCTTCACAGTTGCCACCTGGTGCAAGCCACTATTTCTCACCTGGATTCCTGCAAGAAGCCTCCTTACTTGTCTCCCTACTTACTCCTAATACAGCATATTCTCAGCAGATGAATCATTAGAGATATAAGTTAAATCATATTACTCCTCTGCTCAAAACCTCCTTCCATTTTACTAAAAGTACAAGGCCCTTCGTAATCTGCCCTACCCCCTTTTCCTGTCTGATTTCATTTTCTACTTGTTCTTCCCTCACCTACTTGAGTCACTTCATTCCAGTCACAGTGACTTTCTTGCTGCTCCTTGAGTACTGGCCTCAAAGGCTTTGGGCTTGCTGCTTCCTGTCCCTGGAACACTGTTCTCCCCAGACATACACGTGGTTCATTCCTTCACTTCCTTCAGACCTCTGTTCAAATGTCACATTCTCAGTGAAGCCTCCCCGACCACCTATTTAAAATAGCCTCGAGACTGCTTTCTTGTTCTCCGTAGCACTTATTATGACATATTCAGTATTTATTTCTTCATTATTTTACTACGCATCTCCCTCCATCTTGATTATAAGTCCCCCATCAGGCCAGGGGCTTACATTGCATAGCAGATGTTTAAAAAAAATACTTCTTAAATTGTTTGAATTTTTTATTAAGGTGTGTTAACATTATTTTTTAAAAGCTTTTAAGAAAAGGAAATGGGAATGTGTATACAGACTTGGTCCATAACCTCTTGTCTATTGTGACTCAAATTCACAATTCAAAACGTCTATTCTCATCTTATCTTTTGTTGTGACTCACTTGACGGATGACATTTAAAAACATGAGGTGAACCTAGGTCTACATATAATTCCTCATAATATGCTGTGGTGCCACCCTTCCTGACCCACTCAGACAGCATATAGGAATTAAGTGAGTTTAAATGACTTTTTTATAGGAATGATCTGGCATATGTGTTAATTTAGAAAAGCTAAAACGTTTACAAACTTTCCACCTTAACTTTTATTAACAATAAGTTACTTGGGATGTCCCTCATAACACAGCTTAACTCATAAGTATATCACCATGCCACAGTTGTTATTTACAGGTCTAGTGGTCTTGCTATTTACTGATTCAGAGTTCCCATGAAATACTCCTCACCCTGGCCCCCAGGATCTACTAGTACTAACATTCAAAGTATCCATGAAGACAGCAGAAATTTCCTCTATCCTATAAATAGGGCAATGGAGCACAGAAGAAAACTCACAAAAATAACCCAAATAAGAATAAGAATATAATCATTCTTGTATCTATCCCATAGCTTTCCTGGATAGGTCACAAACATCATCCCTTTCATTCTCCCATCAACTCTACAAAGAGAAGAGAGAGGAGGAAGGAAACTAAAATGCAGTGGCCAATTCATGTACAAATGCTTTACATGGACTATCTTATACATGTATCTTCACTATCCTAAAAGTTAAATATTTTCTCCTCCTCCTCCTCCTTCTCCTTCTTCATTATCTTTTTTATCTTTAGTTAGAGTCATTTTTCCTACCAGGAAGTTAACATTGCCCAGCCAAGTGGCCAAGCTAAGAGAAGGCCCAGTTCTGACAAGATCTAAAGCCCAAGCCCTTGCAATACCACCGCATGGCATCTCGTGCCTGGATTCTCCCTCTCCCCCACTGTCCTGACACCAGTGGCCAGGGGTTTCAATCACACAATAATGGTTCCTCCTCATTACCTTGGTGTGCTCTCCTGATGAGAACATCCAGTCTACCTTGGTCATGTGTTTCTCTTCTGTGCTCTGGAAAACACATCTCATATAAGTAGAATCACCCACACAGACCGTGAGCTCTGGGGATAAAATGATAAATCAAGTCAAACCTAAGGTATAATCTATAGAAGTCGAAGAACTTCTAAAAGAGATAACGTTTAGTCAAAGATCCTCAACAGTAAAATCAATGCTACCACCACATACTACACACATTCTTTCCACGGATAATCCAGATGATCAGGCACCGACAAGGTACACAGAGGCCTCTCACTCAAACCAATATGACACTCCGTGGGTAACACAATACCCTCTAGCTACCCACATACATCAAGTCTAAGGGGTCCTATAGTTTTCATTCTACAATAAGTATTCCTTGGTCCTCTTTAATTCCCTTGTCCCTCCCCTTTACCAGAACTTTTCCCATGACCCCAACTCCAATTCAAGTTTATCCTAAAGAAAGTACGGAAAATCTTGAAGCCCACCACTTTCTGTTCACCTACTTAGACACCCACATCTGCTTAACATAAACAGGAAGTGGAAAGTTACATACCTCTCATTCTTGTATATAACCCACTGGCTCTCCTAGCTGAAAAACTGAATCATGGGTGACTTTCCTCAATTTCCTTTTACAAGCTGTCTTAGGACTTGCTTAGGACAGTTCTGGCTACAAAACAGGTCACACGACTCCTTGCTAATTAGGCCACAACAATAGACAGCTTTCCCCTGACTTTTCTTTTTCAATCCCTGCCCCGACTCCCTGACCCAATCAATACCCCTTTCCCTTCTGGCTTTCCAAGTCCTAGGCTCTTCCTTCCACTTATTTGTATAAGCAGCTGACCCCATCATATGTTTACTGCATAAGTCATTTCAAGAGGTCCTTGAAAAAAAACAATCAGATATTTCAGATTTTTTTCATTAATGCTCTATACAAAACAGCCACGAAGTCAATTAAGAAATGAAAGGCAGGATGGTATTTAGAGAGACACAAGCCTAGGTCTTAAATGGAGAAAGTTCCTTTAAAAGTACATTAAACAAGCTCATGAAGAAACAAACACAGTGCATAAGCAGACTTTTTCATTCAAATTGTTTCCCTAAGAGAACATTAACTTCCTGCCCAGAGGAAAAATGCATTATGGCAGGAAAGCAAAAGAAAATATTATGAACTTGAAACTCTATAGAGAGAATTATTTTGAAAGTAATAAAAATTCACTGCAAAGAATACCAGTAAAGAAGGAAACACCCTCTAATTCTATCAACACATTAAAAACTGAACTCTATTTTTAAATGTATAATAATGACTAAACCTTCTGAATCCTTTCAATGCACCAGGCATGTGCTACACACCATGTACATAGTCTATCAACTAGTCATTACAGTATTTTGAGATATACACCATTACCCTCTCATTTTACAGAGGAGGAAAGTAAAAGAGACAAAAGCCACATGGCCAGTAAAACATAGAGCCAGAACTCAAACCCAGGCCTGAGTGAAAACAAAGTCCAAGTTTTCTCACTCACTATACCATACCACCTCACATAAGTGGAAGGATGGCTCATTCCAGAGCAAAAGTACAGGAAATTAGTATTATTTTTATTTGTAAGGAGATTGCCTACAGTATTTAAATAAGAAATATGAAAAAAGGAATTAAAGTAGTAGAATCAAAAAAATTATAAACTGAAGGGTAGACTTTGTAGAGAAAATTATAGATGACTGCGCAAATGTAGTTTTCACATGGGAGGAGACAATTTCTAACAAGCAAGTTGGACAACTTTGCACTGGCCACTAGGCAAACTGTTAAGAGTTGGACCTATTCCCACTTCGGCTAGAGGGAAAAATAAATACAAGTTGCTCCACTGGCTAATGGGGACATATATAGTCACCCCTAAAATTGTTCTAGCCTGTTACCATGGACTCAACTCTTGAAATCAGCTCCTTTGGCTCATTCCCTCTGTGTCTCTTCTAAGCAGGAAAAAGCACCCATTTTGCAGGTCATGCTTGCATGGACAAGTGTTTAGGCATGGCATCAAAGGACAAGGCAGAAAGCCATAGCCCAAAGATAATCCTTAGGCACAAAGGCAGCTGATTCACTTCCTCTTCCTAGATAACCATAGCTTTAGAATCAGAAAAATGCCAACTGAAAAAAAGCAGAAAAAATTAGGAAGCCAGAGGCTACCTTCTATCATTTCTCCTACAATTCTGTTTTCCAGAAATCAAATTCAAGTGAGAGACACTAATTCATTCATTCAACAAATGTTTATTGATTGCTTACTCTGTGCCAAGCACTATACCCAACGCTGGTCAGAGGACAAAGAACACAAACTCAGGTGAACAGGAAGATACAACTGAACAGGGGTGATTAGTATCACCAAAAAGGAACTCATTATAAGAATGGACCTTAACTAGCTGGTGAGGAGGAATGGGTTCAGATTCTGGTTCCCTAACTAGACTGCAAGCTTTCCCAAGGTCATAGACTGTTCCTTCCATATCACACTTTTAAAGAATATATTGAATTCTGTGATTTTCAAACTTTTTAAAGCAGAATTCTTCCTTTAAAATAAAATCTTACCTGGGAAGCCCAATGAATAAAACAGGAAAAGATAAAAGACTTTGGTTGCAGTGGAGGTGGAAGCATGAGGTCCTACTGGACAAGGTCCTCTATCAACCCTCTCCCTGTTCTTGCCCTGTGTGCCCTACCAGGTTCCTTGGACTGTGAGGGTTCCAGAGCGGTTTTTAAACCACCAACATACCAAAGCCAGTCCCTCCATTTACAAATGGGAAAATGAGAACCAAAGAAGTTAGAGAAGTCTTCTCATTTCTTTTTTATCCCTCAGAACACTTAGTATAGGTCCTATAAAATACAGACATGTCATCAATGTGGATAACTTGATGGGAAGTATTGGGGTATAGTAAAAAGAACATGGACTTTGTTGTCAGAGGTGACAAGGTTCAAGTACTGAATATGACATTTAATAAATATGTGTCCTTAGGCATAGTCGCTTAACCTCTCTAAGCCTCAGTTATTTCATCTGTAAAATGAAAACAACAGTATTTCCTTCACGACATTTTCAAGGGATAAAATATGTTTAAAGTAATAATGAAATAATAATCATCATTATTTTTACTTAAAGAACACTATTAATTGAGGACTCACTCTGTAGTAAGTACCTAGCCCAATGGCTGGCATTTAGTCACAAAATCAGTTCCCTTCCCCTTTTGCACATCAAACCGCTTGCTCCTTCCTCCTCCTCTAAGTAAGCATTCATGTACCTTTGGGCTCCTCTGGCAGTACATGCAGCACCACTGCTTTTTTGAACACCACGCTCTCCATTTCAAGGCGAATTTCACAGGTATAGCTTCCCTGGTCAGTCTCTTCCACATTTCGAAGCAAGAGAGAACCATCATTGCGTAAGATGTCCCCTACCAAGTATGCGCGATTCTGGAAGCGCCCCACGGGCACACTGAGGTTGGCATAATAATATAGTACATAATCATCCTGGAGGGTAATACAACATTGGAGAATATCTAGTCAGTGGTACCAGACCTAGGAGTCTAGATTCCAAATACCCTGTTCTGTGGAGGCAGCACAGTCATCATTATCATTGTGGCCAAAAAGTACTTGTTACCCAGTTAATAATAATATGTGCCAGGCAATATTCTAACTTGCACAAGGCTCTGTGGCTCATTTATACAAAGACAAATGGAGAAATATGGTCCACACATTTTCATTTCTAACAGTTTAAGGTAAAATGTTACATCCACTTTGAAGATTACTATGGGGATTCAAACTCAACTTTTGAAAACCACCTCCCATCCTCAGCCCATCTTCTGGCATGGCTCCCAGACTAGATGGCATTCAAAAGCATAATGCAATCCTACAGGCTGGCTGTTGTGAGAATTCCTGGCATTTTGGTTGTCACTCCTTTCCAGTCTGTCTTATTCTAAGAAAGCATAACATAAGGTTTGAGAGTCATCAAGAGGAAATGGTTTACAGGCTGGGAGGGGGACCCCAAGGAATTCTTATTTCTACTTACACTATGAGAATATCCCTCATATAATAATAAATAGTAATAAAAATTTGAGTGAGAGTAGCATTATAGGGATAACATGTTCTGAGCACAGAAAACAATATTTCATTTGCAAATATTAGGACTTTATTATTAACACATTACTTAGGACATGTTTCACAAATGATCCAGACATATAAGTATCTTTAAATCTCTGATGGGCTTAATACACTGTTTCCTACTCCAAAGAGCTTCCATGAAATCCTCACTCAGCCATGCTGCATCTGCTAACCCCAACCCACGAGCAGCTGTGAAGGAGAAAAAGAAGATTCCCAGCACATACATGGGGCAGTGGAATGCTGAAAGAATCTGTTTCCCCCCAGCTCCCCATCCCCTTAAAAAACTATTACTGTGACATCATTCTTATGCTTAGGCCATAACCCTTCTGTCTAGACCAATGCTCTCCTACCATCTCACCCCTCCCATGCACTGACACTACTCTCCAAAGGGCAGAAATTAAGAAAAGAAACTGAAAGAACTTTATGCATATGTCTCCCACTAGCTTCTAAGTGACCTGAAATTTAAGTGTTACCATTTATAATTATCTTCACCTTCACCTCTGCAGAAGGAGATCATCGAGATTAAATAACTTGTCTAGCTGATTACACAGCCAAGAGTCCAGGCTGAGAAGAGACCCAGTTCTGACAAGCTCCAGAGCCCAAGCTCTTGCAATACCACCCCATGGCACCTGAAGACCTGATTCTCTCTCTCCCCACACTGTCCTGACATCACTGGCCAAGGGCTTGTACTACACAGTAACGTTTCCTCCTTTTTACCTTGGCGTGCTCTCCTGATGAGAACATCCAGTCTACTTTGGTCACACGCTTCACTTCCGTGCTCTGGAAAACACATCCCATTAGGGCTGAATCACCCACGTGGACTGTTAGCTCAAGGGAGGAAACAATCAAGTCATTCAGGCCCAAGGAATAATCTACAGAAGTCAAAGGCAAGAGGAGACATCATTTAGACAAATATCCTCAACAACAAAAATCAGTATTAATCACCAAGTACTGTACACCTTCCCTCCCCAGAAGACCCAACATGGCCCAGAGGCCCTTCACCAAACTAGCATGGCATTCCCAAGGGTAAGAAAAATACCCTCTAGTTAACTACATGGCTCAAATCAGGAGTTTCTGCAATCTTCACACTACGTAAATGCTAACTGGTTCCACTCTCCTAGCTAGCGCCTTTCTTTTTTCCAGAATTCTCCCTCCAATCTCATTTCTAAAGAAAGAAGAGAAACTCCGAAGTCCCTCCTTTCATGTCATGTATTTTGACACCCATAAAGAGGAACTGGGATGTCTCTTGTTCTTTGTTTCCCACCAGTTCCCTATCTGAAAAGCCAATTCACAGGTATTTTTGCTTCCTTCCTCTTTTCTCTTTGTTTAGTGCCTTTGCAAAAATCTTCTCTGAATGTGCTGGCTGATTCTGGCTGTAGTACAGGGCCTTGTAATTAGGCCAATACAGAGCACCACTCTTCCCTTGAATTTCCTTTGTATTTGCCTTCTCCCCACTTCTCTTCCAGCTTTGCCAACAGCCCTGGCTTGTCAGCCTCTAGGTGTTTGCTCACACAGTACCACTCTACTATCTGTACATTGCTCAAGGAACTTCTCTTTTCACTAAAAGAGAAAACCATTATACAAACGTTTCTTTTTTTTTTCTTTTTTTATTTTTTACATGAACATTTCTGTTTTCATAAGATATGCTCTATGCAAAGAGACAATGACATAAAGCAAGATACGTTTAGATGCTGGCCAGTCTGTATCAAAGAAGAGCCAAGTGAACGCATATGGGAAAAACAAAAATTGTGCCAGTCTTTTCATCCAAGCTGTTGCCCTGAGAGGAATCAACTTCCTGCCCCACAGCAGGAACACACCGTAGGGAAGATGTAAGAGAAAACATGAACTCCACACTCTTTAGAGGGAATTATTTTGAAAGAAATCAAAATTAGCTCCAAAAATGATCTGGAGTTTTTCTGTCAGGAAGAACTGAGCCACTTTATGTGCAGTTAAAGGTATAAGAAGCAAATTTAATTTAACATTAAGCATGTTATATGTAGAATTAAAAGAAGGTTTGAGAGAAAGCAAGAGCAACGACCAAAGTGAAGAGAAGCTTATACATGACAAGTAGCCTTTGCAGACAAATAGGTGAAGAAAATGAGACTTTCTAAAGGAGGGAAACCTCTGCACAAAGTACAAAATCTCTGAGGCCACCAAGCCACTACATACAGGGTTGGATTGTTAACTCTCTGGAGAGAAGAGCAAAACCCTGCAGGCTGCTTCATAGACCTCTGGGAGAAAATGTCTAAATAGCCTCTGAAATCATGAAAAAATTCATGAAAAATATTCTCTAATGCATATTATTTCTGTGTGTGCATGTGTGCATGTTTACACACTCTCTATGTTGCCTGAAACTAGAGCGAAGGCACTTTTTTAGTGTACTTTGCTGAGTCAATGTTTAAATCACCATCCAGTTTTAAAAAATAAATAAAAAGAGAAAAAAAAAGTATGAAAGCAAAGTACCTAATTAATTTGTCTTCCTACAGAGATATACCCATGGGATAAAGAGAAAGACAAGGGGGAAAATGGATGAAAAAGTTAGAAAAAGTGAAGATAAGAAATGGGCAGCAAGATGCATTCCTGACCAATTGGGTTACATGAACAGGAGCCTCCAGTCTGGTCTGAGGATGCAGCCAGAGAAGGCTTGTTAGAAAGAAGTGGAGCTTAAAGGGAAACCTGAAGGATAAGGAAGCCTTAGTCAGGCTCGCAAGGGTTAGGTGGGGAGAGAATGTTCCAGACAAAAGAAACTATCCCAAATTGGGAAAGGGCTCTCAGTGCTTTGGAGGAACTGCAAGAAGGCTGGTATGGCTAAAGCATGAAAACAATTACAGGGATTCTGGGACTTTCTTTGGTATTTTCATTTCCTGATCTGAGACTAGCTATGATTTTAAAGATGACAATTTAAAGTGCAGGCATGCCAGAGGGAGGTTTTCTTTATATCACATAGGAGGGTTCCAGAATACCCAGTAAGAACCCAAAGGCATTCTGTTTCTATTAGAAATAGAAGAAGATTCAGCTTTCCAAGAAAGAGTCTGCTACATGGCTTCTAAAACAGATGTTTTAGTGAAACTATAAAGTTCCGGGTTAGGGTTTCTGTTTTCAACAAACCAAGGGGAAATGAAAATATACAAATTGGCTTTTGAAATGCATGAGACTTATGATAAATCAAATACTCCTCCCCATGGTCCCTTGGCTTCTACTTACCCAGTAACAGTGGCATCAGGATGAGTTTCAGTGGGTAAAACATGCTGCTCTCTATTTTGCAATCTTAAGATAAAAGAAAAAAAATCAGAAAATAGTTTCAAGAGAAGGTCATTAATTTAACGACCTTCAACAGTGAGTTCCTTCATAGGCCAGTTCTGTCTGAGGCTCTGGGATGCAGCATTGAACAAGAAAGGCAAGGTACAGTTTGTGGGGGGTGGGGAAAGAGAGAGAAAAAAAAGAAGCAAATGAATGAAAAATAAAACAGCAGATGCTGGTAACTGCTATGATAAAACAAAACAGTGGTGCTGGGAGAGTAACTTGGGAGCTGCTTTAGATTGGCATTTCAAGAGAAAAAAAAAGCAAATAATTTCAGCATACCCTTGAAATGACAACCCTAGACATTCTACAACCCGAGAGTTTTACATAAACAAAAGATTACAGGATACTCAGCCTGAAATTTTTACCTATGTCTCCAACTAAATTAAAATTACTACTTTTAAACATTTAAAGAATATTCAGGACATGTGGGAAAGGAGATAACAAATAAGGGGAAAATTTTAAACTCAGTTAAGGCATTTGCCAAGCCCTGTGACACAAAGAAGCCACACGAAAGGTTCATGGTAAGCTTTCTTCTCCCCGCTCCCCCCGCCCTTTTAAAACTTTTTTAGGTAGGGCAGCATGAGTAGAATGAGAACTGGGCTGTCAAGGGGCAAAAGTACTTTTTAAATATCCACATTATCTCTGCGGTATTAATTTCACTGCATCCACCAGCTCCTGGGAAAGGAATCACCGTTCCACACAGTGCCTCGCAATTTTCTTAATAAAACAGAAGAATCTTAACTCCATGGAGTTACAATTCAAACAGCCTTGCATTCCTACCTACTGTGGCTGGTCTCAGCCATGATTCCTACACCCCTAACATCCTGGCACTGGAAGAATTCCACCTCAGAACCTGCTAGGTTCTTTTTTGTGTATTAACATCACAGTACCCTATCCAGCTCTGGTGGGAAGCCCAGCACTTACGGTGGCCATTTTAATTTATAAAAAATGATTTCCTAAAAGATTCCTTACCTGTATTCTAATCAATAAAATCCTCCATCCGGAAAATCAGGATCAAACTGTTCAAGAAGGACCTACCCTAGGTTCCACTTATGCAGAGAAGTCAGTTGACCTTGTTGAACCTCAGTTTCCTCACCTATAACATGGGGATAATAATGCAAAGAGCAAATATGATAATGTAGATAACAGTGCTTTGAAAAATAGAAAGTATTACCACATAAGACCCTACTTTTTACAACCTAAAAGTCAGATGGGAAATAGAGTTTACTGTAGCTTTCAGGGGAGATATTGGGTTCTGAGCATCTACCTTTATAAGAATGGCAAATGACTCATCAGAATGAACTGGAAACTTTTAAGTTTCGATTTTTGAATCCCATCACAACAATGTAGATAATAACTACACTGACTATATACCAAAAGTCACATTAAGTTTCCCCAAACATAAATATATCTAATGAAAACACAGATCTCTCTCATGATAGCCAAGGCCCTATTCCTGCTCCATGATACCCACCTTGCCCCACACATATACGGGTGAGCATGATAAAGGGCTCCCTTTATAGCATGTCACAACTTTATGATGTTTTAGGACATTATATCTGGTACCTTTGAGATTCCTGTCACGTTCTGGATGAATTCTTCTCCAGGGAGTTGGTTTTGCTCCCTCCTCAACCCAGCAAACAGCTCTCATACATTCCTCAAAGCAGTGAGCCATTTGCAAGAAGTAATAATTGATTTAGATAACTAATACCAAACCCCATTAAGTCCACATTCTCAAGAGCAGGACCATATGTGTCATATATTTATGAGTGTCCCATTCCTGTGCTACAGTACCAGTAAAGTACCTGGCATACACTGAATAAGTGCTGATAGCTGCCAATATGACCATCAAATTAAAATCAACTTATTCTGCAACTGCACCACTCTATGCCAAGAGGAAATCAGCGACCCCAAAAAGACTCTGAATCCAGCCACCAAATTCAAGTCACTCAGAGCCACACCCAAACCATGTTCAAACAAGTTCTAAGAAATGTGCCAACAATGTGATGAATAAAAGATACCCATGTTCAGTTCTAAGTATGCAAATGCACCTTTAGAACTGTGTGAATGAATAGAGAAGCAATGATTTAGCAGAAAAAAAAGCATCGAATTGAATTTTTAAAAAATTATCTTCCTGGGTCAGGCTTTCCATCAACAAATTCTTTGATCTTTGGGAAATCACTCAATCTACCTGGGCCTCGTCCTCAACATTGAAAGATCGGACTTTTTTATCCCCCTAGTTAATATAGCATCACATTAGAAATCAGTAGTTGATATGCAATAAACCAGAGAAGGTTATATGCCATGTACTGCCTGAGAGTTTTATACATTAACTCTTTCAATCCTCATTACAACCCTATGCGGTTTTACAGATGAGAAAACTAAGGTACATATTGGTGAAGTGACTTGCCTAATAACACATAACAAGTGGCAGAGCCAGGATTCAAACCCAGGCATGTTTGATCACAGCCTGACTTCTTACTACACTGTACTCTCCTCCATGTTTGTGAATGTAATCAGTGTTTTAGGACAAAGCTTCTCTGAACTTCATTTGTCAAAACACAATTAATCTGTACCCAATGCCTAAATGCTTTTCTCAACCCCTTTACCTAGTTAACTCCTGTTCATCTTTCAGATCTCAAGTTAAATGTCATTTGCTCAGAGAAACCTCTCCTAAACCATCCTTCCTAACTCAGATACCTAGGCACAGGTGTTAATAGTACCATTTATCTTTCCTTTAAGGCATTTGTCACAATTTCTAATTATCTATTTATTTGTGTGCTTATTTGATTAAAGTCTCTTTCTCTCCACCCTCATCTCTCCAAGACTATAAGCCTCATAAGGCCAAGAACTGTGCCTACATGCCACAGATTCTCCACTGCCAGCATGGAGTAAGGTCCAGGGTGAGAGCCCAGTAACTACCTGTCAAATAAGTTAATAACACCTAACAAGGCCAAAAACACTCTAGTCACATTTCAATTTCCTAAGTAGTTGGCAAATATTAAGAAATTCCTATCATATATATATATAGTCACCAAATTATGTACAGTCATGTACACATATATATAACAGAAATTTTGAATAAACATATTTTTTTAAATTATATATCTGAATAATAACATTATGAATTTTATATATAATAGTTGACTCTTAACACAGGGGTTAGGGGTGTTTCTGTGTCATCAAAAATCCAAGTATAACTTTTGACTCCCCAAAACTTAACTATTAATAGCTTACAGTTGACTAAAAGTTTTACTGATGACATAATCGATTAACACATATTTTGTGTTATATCTGTTATATACAGTATTCTTATAATAAAGTAAGCTAGAGAAAAGAAAATGCTATTAAGAAAATTATAAAGAGAAAATACATTTACAGTACTGTACATATTTACTGAAAAAAATTCTGTATATAAGTGGACCTTATACACGTTTAAGTGCAGTTCAAACCCATGTTGTTCAAGAGTCAACTGTATTTATATACAGCAGGTCCTCAAATAACCTCATTTGATTCAACATCATTTCATTATAATGTTGATGGGAAAAAAATGTGAATCCCAGCTGGGGTCACTGTCCATGTGCAGTTTGCATGTTCTCCCCCATGTCTGCATGGGTTTTCTCTGGGGAGTACTACCACATCCCAAAGACCTGCATGTTAAGTTAACTGGTGTGTCTCAACTGTCCCACTCTGAGTGAGTGTGGGTGTGAGTGGCCCTGAAATGGAAGGAAGGGTGTCCTTTCCAGGGTGGGTTCCTGTCTTATACCTTAAGCTGCAGGTATAGGCTCCGGCCACCCATGACCCTCAGTTGGAATAAGCAAATTGGAAAATAATTATCTTACCAGTTTTTATTAAATGTATACATAGCTTGCTTTTATTTCAATGTTTAACATTAGAAGTGTTTAAGGTCTTTAGAAGTTTGGTGATGTTGTTGTGCTAGAAATATTCTGTAAGAACTTAACCCTTATTTATATCAATTAGTCTATGGTAAAATTGGTTTCAATATACATCGTTTCCTTTAAAGTCACAGTTTCCAAGAACTTATCAATGACACTAAGTTAAGGCTTACTGTATATAAAATGAATTTCAGTCTTTAAAAATCCAACCAAAGCATTCAGATGCACCTTAAGTACCTTGAAAATAAGAGACTCTGAATTCTCAACTTCTTCTACCCTGCTTCTTTCTCCAGATACTGATTTATCTCCTCAGCTGATGTTCTTGAGATAATTCTACATAGTAAGTTATCTCATATGCTGGCCAAACATTTTTACCTGAGCTTATGGCTCTCTCACAATATAATTCCTGGCAAGGACCTTCTATCACTCCTGGGGAGTTGTAACTATCAGGATCCACTTTCCTATTATTAATCATGTAGAGGAATTGTTATCCTTGGCACAATTATGACAGAAAAAAATCTTCAGAAAAGAGACTTATGACAATGAGAATACCACACAGGATGTGAAAATGACCCCCATATATTACAATATTACAAGACAAATTAAGGGAGAGGTGCTGTCTGTCAAGGTGTTTGCCTCTAGTCAGGATACCAACCACTGAGCAAACACAACTACATAGACTTCCCTTACACAGCCCACTCCACCTGCAATGCTATGTTCCCTCAATTTATCCATGCCTGTGTACCTCCTGGGGTCTCAGAGGATTTGGGGCATATGAGTTCACATAACCATTCTGAGGCATGAACCTCTTAAAATATACCCTTGTTTTTCCTTCTAAGGCCATTTAATACAGACTGGTAAGTTACATGGCTTCTTGTAACACAGTCTAGGTTATATTAGTCAACCCTCTACTTGAAAAGGACCTTGGAAATAATTACTCCTGCTCACTCCTTCTGACCAGGTTATACCTAAACCATCTACGTCAGTCTTTCTCGAGATCAGGGATATGCAGACGGTGTGACAAGTATAGACAATAGCCTAGCTCTCTTGGGAGGTTTAAGTTTCTGACTTCTTAAAGTTAAATATTAGCCTGTCTGAGACTGGAAGAAAAGAAACAGTGAAGAGTGTTGCCATGAGTTCAAGGACAGCTAGTCAGTCACAGCTCTACCTAAAGCCACAGGCAAGTTAAAAGCTAACACCATATCATCATCATCATCATCTACTCTTTTATTAAGAGCAAACATTACATACCTCTTTTCTCTGAGGATCTTAACATAAGTTACTTTACACTACAGAAAGAAAAACTGCACCCACTAGACTACCTTATCATAGTCCTCCTACAGAGATTGAGAGTTCTGTGACTATGGCATCGCAATGCAAAAGGATTGCCATTAAATTAAAACCTTCAGAAGCAGGCTTCTGGGAGAGAAAAGTTCAAATCACTGCTTAAGAAATACAAAGCAATTGCTTACCCAAGATGAGGAGCGCCAAGGAGAAGCAATGCACTGAACTCTCCCACTACTGCAGTTCTCAAGTCCAACTGAGGAGACTTCTGCTAGCACAGAAGGTCAGGCTCAGAGCAAACCAAATGCGTGTGTTCTGAAGTGGCGGCGGAGGCACAAACAGGAACCTCCAAATTAAGGTTCTTGTTTTAGTCATCTGGTCCATTACCCAATCTTTATTAACACTTTTATTGTAAAAAGAGATAATAAATCCAACTTACTGAAGAACCTCATATTCCAGACCTCTGCAGGTGCCACTTCTTCTGCTAGATTACAAGCTCTCTCAGAGTGGGATCTTCAATGGCATGAGGCAAACATTTGCTGAGAAAAAAATCAGCTTCATGCTAACAAAATACAATAAATTTAAGATTAACACAAAACATTTTGCTCTTTGTTTAAAATATAGCAACCTCTCTTATTTTCTCTCTCAACACAGAGGTAGAGCCAGTCAGTTCCCTAACCCCTGCTTCCAAAAATATGCCTGCCCAGTCCTCCAACTCACCACCTGAACATGTTGATTTCCTCTGACAGTGTGATATCAGTATTTCCAGAATGCAGGTAGCATTTTATTCCCCCAGAGAATCTCTTGGGTGACTTGGACATCCTAGATAAGGACTGAAGGCTTTTTCACTTCAAGGTATCTTTTGATTTTAAGTCACCCCTTCAAAATAAGTGTTCTCAATGTACACATCTTCAACTTTGACTGGATTGCTTTGACCTCCACATGGACACATACTTGTTTCTTATAACTTGTCCTGTATCATTTGAAAAACTGTTGAATGCCTGCTCTTCTCAAGGACTATGCTCCATGGTTCTTAAGAAGTGGTGTGCTGGTAAGCCAGCAATTCATTTAAATATACCCACCATGGCCTATTTCAAGCTACCAACAGTTTAAGAATCAGGAATTGCAAAATTCCTAAATATTTAACAATCAGCTCTTGCTGTGTGAGCTGGTTCCAGCACAACACTGAATTTACGCAGGTTCTTGCTGAGGTATAGCTCAGAGATAAATGGTCGTTTGAAGCTGAAAACCACAAACCTACTTCTCTTTCATATGACCGTTCTCATTTCATATACACCAAGTAGTAGCCATAAAATGCAAAGAAGTTTATTAACTATGATGCAGTAAAGACATCAAGAGTTACAATGTCTGTGCACATACCCCAACAGTGCATATCCTCCTACAAAAAACAAAAACCAAAAAAATCAGTAAAATGCAGCAATTAACAATTCAATAGTACAACACTGGAGTCAAAGAAATGGAGCTGCCTCTTTTGACAGCAAGTTTTGAGTTATGCAATTAAACGATAGTCTCATAGATCTTTTTAGAGCTCCCTTTGGAACCATAACTGAGTGACACAATAAGACATTCAGATTCAGGATTTGGCTTCCAGAATTTTTTTAAAGCAGGGACATGCAACATTCCTTCTTGAAGCACCAGTGCCCCATTTGGGAGCTACAGAGAACTAAACAATTCCCCAAGAAGCCTGAGATAACAGGCCCTGTGGGAAACACAAAGCATTTTGTAAGTTCATATTTGGTAACAGAATTAAGAACTCAATGCAAAAAACTCATGAAGTAATGTAACCACAAGTAAAGAGTTCAGCAGTCAAAGAAAAATTCTAAAAGGCTTTTAACCCCTTCTGAAGCCTTCAGAACTAAATTCCCTTTCTAGACAAGGCTTGTCTCCATATGGTATAATAAGAACTTATGGAGCAGCCAAAAGAAAAAAAGATAGAAAATAGCACCTTAGAAGATATTAAAACTTTGAGTTAAAAAAAAAACTTTATCTTCCTTCTATCCTTAAAGAAAGCAGGTGTCCAAACACTGCTTCTCGCTCCCTTGAAGAAAAGCTGTAACCCAGACATCAATATAAGGGATGAAGAAGGAAACTGATAACAGCCTTATGACTGTAATATGAACACAAACCAATAAATTATCAACTTACTCTCTTCCCATGGAGGACTCTATTATTCAGTCATTTGAAAAGGACTTTGAATCATGATCAAGGCTGCAAAATAACATGACTAAGAATTCACACAGCACCATTTGTCTAAAGTGAAAAACATAACACACAGGATTAATCCTCAAAACATGCTACAAAGGAAATTACAAGCAAACCTAGCTAAAACTGGTTCCTCATTTAATGGGATGTGGCTTTAACTGGGTTCCCATAATATCATCCATTTCTCAGAGAAATGGGGACCCACAAAAAGTCTGCCTCACAATTAGATCTCTATCTTTAAATCTCCTAGCACCCAAATTATTTATTCTCATTGCTCAAACCATTTTCCTCTCTGTGTTGAGGTGCCAGATTGGTCCACTAGATCAGCACTAGACAACCGCATACTTAACGAGTAGCCCAAGACTGTGAGGTTTAACCACTGGAAATGTAAACTGTTAATTCTGTCTTGTCTCTTCTACTTCCTTATGTGATCAGAGGTAAATCATGTTTATTAATTAACCAGACTCTCTAATCTATGGACTATGTTAACAAAAGAGGCCAGGCCAAATCTATGGGACAGAGCTAAAAACCCAAATTTTTAAAAATAGATCTTAACAAAAACTGTAAAAGTGATTTTTTAATAACACATACAGTGTATAATGCTATAATACAGATACCCGCTAAGCTACCTAGTGAAGAACCATGGAAAGGGACCATCCTGTTGAAAAAACAAAGATAGATGGAGGGGATAATTTTTGTTTCTCACAACTAAGAAGTGAACTCTATCACTCTGCTACAGAGGACTGCACTGTCAATCTTTCCTGACATGTCATACATATTTCTGAATGGCTAACAGAAATTCTCACATAAATTAAAATTTGAAATAGGTTGCTACAGGAAAATGGAGGAAGCCGATACAAGGTACTGAATGACCAGAAGGGAGAAGTATAGGTTATGTACAACATCACTTCCTTATCTTAAGTATTATACAAAAACAGTTTGCAATTACCTCAGTTCATTCATATTTGGTGCATTTTAGAAATAAAAAACAGTTTTGAAGAATAATACAGGTTAAAAGAGCATTTCATTGCAAATAACTGGTTAAATATTCTATACATCCCCACAAAACCTTTTGAAGAGTTTTTCTTGCCTCTGATCTGAAAAGTCAAGAAGGAAACCACAAATCAGTCAGCTGAAAGAAAGTAAAGTAACAAATTGCACCTGACAAAAGAAAGGACTCCCCTACCTCACCATTCCTTTCCTTAATTGTAAATTGATGACACTTTAATATTTTTAAAACCCAATCCAAGTAGAATCCTGATCCTACCAACTCGAAGGAAATTAGTGTTCTATACTCCAAATCACCCAACGTAATTGACAATGAGATAATTAAACCAATGAGTATATACTGTGTGTTAACTCACAGCTAAAAATGTTCATGGAGCAAAAAACAATACTTATCCCAAACAAACATTTTGTCTGGTAGCACATCAGGAAAGCTACAAGCTCCACTTCATTTAAAATATATATATGTATACTTATATGTATATATACGCATCAGCAGTGTGGCCAACATTTAGGATTCTCCATCATACAATTGGAATATAACATGTATTACATTCAAGAGCAAAGATGAAATAAAAAGTATCTTTCTTCATTCAACTAACAGTATAAGTTATTAAAAAGGGTGGTTATGAGTCTCTTCTAAAAGTTTTTGAACAGCTTATAAATACAAAAAGAACATTTCTTCAATAAATAAATGGGTCCTAAAGTCTTTACTGATGACTTCCGGAAACCTCCATCATTACTCTTCAGGCCAGCTCTACTTCTCCGAGAGGCTTTAGCTGCCAGTGGAATGGGATATTTTCTGTTATTAGGTCATTCTTCTTATATCATGCAGACTTTCATCAATATGTCTCTTCATAGTCTGAATCCTGGAGAGGAAAAAACAGTACTTGTGGTATGTATATGAAGTATAATGCCATAGTCAGAATTTAACCAAAGGCAACCCATTAGGATCCCCATAATGGAACCCAGCTTGGGACAACATTGATAGTGGGACAGCACTCACTCAATACACCTAAGTTCCCATGAAGCATCACAGGACCTCAATATAATTGGTGACTATTAGGTTTAGCTACCACTACCATTATGCTTATTTTTTTAATTCAAACGTGTACTCATTGCTTTGAATCTCAAATAGGCCATTAGTACTAACTGGCCAACTGCATTTTTCTAGTCCATTCATTCTCCTAGACTATTTCATACCTTTCCCTCTTTGCTCAGACTTCCAAAATCTCCTCCTCACTACTTCATTCTCAGGTGATGATCTTTCTTTCTCCCATCATGGGACTAGAGGAGCAGTCAGTAGGGAACTTCCACAAGCTCTCATCTTCATATTTACCCACTCACCTGCATCTGGGCCCATCTACTTGGCCTTCCTTACTCTTCTTACAGATATACTCTTCCTGCCTTTATCAAAGGCCAACATCTTTACTTGTGCACTAGATTCTGGAGTCACTCCAGTGGTCTTTACCTCTCTCTCTTGCAGTATCTACTTTTCTTTCTCTGCTGGCTCATTTACCATCCCATAAAAATGTGCTACAATTTCTCCCATCTTAGAAAGAAAAGCAACTCAACACACACCTACCTCCACTTATTGCCCTATTTCTATGCATCCCTCCACAGAAAAATTCCTTGAAAGAGTTGTTTACACCCACTGTCACCAATAAATCTCTTAATATCCTTTCTTGGCCTTACTCCAGTCTGGCTTTCATTCCCTAGTCCATGGAAGCTGCTTTTGCCAAGGTCACCAATGACCTCCACATTATAGATCATACAATAATCAATGTTCATTTCTTATTTTACTCAACCTGACTCAGCAGCAATTGGTACAATCATTCTCTTTTCCCAAAAATACTTTCTTCATTTTGCCTCCAGGATATCAAACTCTCCTAGTTTTCCTCTTACCTCACTGGACATTCCTTCTTAGCCTCCTTTGCTAATTTCTCCTCATCTCCCCAATCTACCAACTTTGGAGAGTTCAAGGGCTCAGTCTTTTGACTTCCTCTCTATGTACACTCATTACCCTGGTGGAAATAGCTCTACCAGTCTTTATCTGCTAATGACTCCTAATGTATATTGCCAGTCCAGACCTTTCTTCTGAACCTCACACCCACATAACCAATTGCCTACTCCACATCTCCACTTAGATGTTTAATAAGTATTTCAAACTTAATATATCCAAACTCAGCTCCTGATCTTCTTCCTAAAACCTGTTCCACTCAGAGAATTGCACATATAAGAAAATGGCAACTCATTCTTCTAGTTGCTCAAGTCAAGAACCTTGACTCTTCTCCTTCTTTCACATACATGTGCAACCCATCAGTAAATTCTTCTGAGATCAAAATGCTTTGGAAGAAGACCTCGGTTGACACCATGCTTTGGACCTACTGGCATACCCTCTGCTGCCTCTAAGGGCAAAGGATCTCAATAAGTAAGCAAAAAGTGAAACATGAGCAGAAAGCAGAAGAAATGGCATCGGCTTACCAAGCACTCCGCACAACGGACACAAAGTCTCGCCATGCAATTATCCTCCTCCTCTTGGTCAGTGCTATAGAAACAAGACAAACCAAATCAGAACAATCACTGTCTCAGTAGAGAGCGGTTAAGAGCACAGGCATTGAAGTCAGACAGGCCTGGTTTTAAATTCCAGTTCTGCCACTTACTAGCAGGATGACTGGGCAAATCGCTTAAGCTCTAGGAGCCTGTTTCCTCACCTATAAAATGCAGACATTACTAGCTACACTTAAAGATAGTGGTTAGGAGTAAATAAAAAAATAAATTCATGTAAAACACATACCATAGTGCCTGGCACATAGTAAATGCTCAATAGAAGCTAGTAACAATCATTCATTTAGAAACGTACTAAGCATCAACCATGTCGGAGGCATTGTGCTGGGCTAGGGATAAGGACATAAATAAAGCATAGTCCCTTGAAGAGTTTACAATCTCATGGGGATGACAGACCTGTTGAAACTTAACAAGTACAATATAATACAATGTGATAACATTTTAAGGGAGTTAAGGTCAAACTGCTGTGGCAGCAAAGAGGGGGTGATTAGTTCTCCCTGTATGACTCAGGGAAACTCAAAAGAAGGGAACATTTCAATTGGGTCTTAGAGGATAAGGAAGAGTATTACAGGCAACAAAGGGAGAGAGGAAGAGGATTTCATGTGAGAAAAAAGCATGCAGGGGTAGGGGTGAGGGGCATAGTGGAGGGGGGTGGGGATAGTAAGCCCTGAATAAGTATGGTACGTTTAGAGAAGAAAATAAGCTCATTGTAGCTGGAATGTGGAACGAATGAGAAGAAATGATAAGAAACAATGTGGTTTCTTGGAATTTCTTGTTAATTTTGAAGAAATGAGATTTCCACTTCAGAATTTATTCAGAACCATAGCATCAATCTGATTTCCAAAGCAGGAAACTAGGACCATACTATTAACCTCTCCATCTCTCTCCAAATTAATATCCACAGGTTTCACTCTCAACCTTCCTTCTAGTCTGCTCAGCAGAACTATTCTCTTCTAAAAGAAATTTCACCAGAAGAACTAAACTAGACCTTGAAGAAGGGAAGGCATGAATGCAGGGGCCTGGGCACTACTCACAAAGCAGGAATCTGAAGAGAAAATGGGTTTACTGCTCAGGGCTCCAGCTGGACTTACTCATCTGAAACCTCAATAGACGACTTCTTATAGCCGGACTTGCTCCTCTTCTTCAGCCCCACAGACTTCCTCACCATTCTCACCAGCAATAAAACCACCACCACAGTTGAGGGAATAAAGACAAGAATGGAAAGAAGGGCCACAGATGAGAGCATGGTGCCAAAACCTAGAGGAGGAAAAAGAGAAGATAAAAAGAGAGGGACATGCAAAAATGTTTTCTTTGACATGAGGTAAGTTTTACTTTTGCTCTTGTATTTCTTCTCATTATAAAAGGAATAAATTCAGTGTAGAAAGTATACACATAAAAAAAAAGGAATAAAAATTTACCCATAATCCTACTATTTAGGATTAACACCTTAGTATCTACCCATTCCATCTTCTTTCTAAACATATGTGAATATGGGTCTGCATATAGGGATGAGAGTGTAAATATCTTTTATAGTTTTATTTATTTTTAAAGAGGTAATAATACATTTACATAATACAAGAAACACAAGTATGTTAACCATACAATTTACTCTTTTAAGAGCAGAAAAGGGCTCTCTATATAACATTGGGTCATAAACCAGGCTTGTCTTTGTCATCCTGAGTCTGCAATGTTAATCTTCTTCCCTTTGTCCCCACCCCACCTGCTTCTCTTCAGAGACAATCAATGCAATCAATTTTCTTTTGCAACCTTTCAGAGATATTTTATTTAAAAACAAACAATATAGTCTTCTCTCACCTTTTTTTTAAAAGATTTTTATTAACATATAGCTAACATTTAATACTGTATTAATTTCAAGTGTATACCACATTCAACATTTATATGCCTAAAGGGACCACTATGATAAGTTAAAAAGAGAGTGTATATTTTTTAAAGTATGAATCATATTTTACGTATTATTTCTAACCTCCTTTTTTACTTAATAAATGGTAAGTACTCTCGAGTTATTACAAGTTCCTTCCAGATATGACTTTTTAAATGGCTGCATAGTAATCTGCCATACTGCATAGTTTATTGAATCAGTCCTCTAATGCAGGACATTCAACTTACTTCCAATTCTTTGAATTTATTAGTTATATTATGATAATATCCTTGTACATAAATCTTCATGTTTAGCTCTATTTCTTTAAGATAAATTTTTTAAGTGGTATTACCAGATCAAAGGGTATATACTTTTAAGGCATCTGATATATTCTACTACTGTCTTCCAGAAAACTATATTAGTTTCTACTCTCACCATCAGTATGAATGTGCCCATGTCTCTGAAATTTGAGTTATTGTCTTAAATAAACTACAATGCAGTCTTATATCTCTAAGTCTTTGGTTCAAATCCAACTAAGGACTAGAATGAGCACTCAATAATCAACAGAGAATAACACAGAAAAAAAAAAAGAGAGTCAGTCCTTAACCTACCCTTCCTTCTGTTTCACACTAAAAGGAAACTGCTGCTCTTTGCAACATAAGGAAATGTGCTGCCTCCACCATTAAAGGGCGTCCCCTTTTAAGACACAGGCAAAAATACTGTCTCATGACTGAAGGCATGAACAAACTAGGGAAACCAGAATGACTTCTATATCATACAGATAACAACCCTCTATTTATTCAGGGATTCATCATACATTCCACAAGACCTGTGGTCATTATGACAACATTTGAGGAATAACTTGTTTGCAAAATAAAGATGAAAAAATTCGTCCTAATAGACAATTCAGGATAGCAGAATGCTCCAATGACCAACTGGCTTACAAAGATAGGTAGCTTTGCTTATCATTGATCTCTCCAGAAAGCACCATAGTAGTCACCAGGCACTGCAGAAGAAGGTTGGTGGCAGGTAGCTTACCCCTTTCTGTGACTATTAGCTCTGTCATGGGAATATTATGGTGCACATCTGGGGGATTCTTCACAGCACAGCTGAATGTCCCATTGTCCTTTATGGTAGGGTTGCTTATGCTTATGGATGCATCCCCTTTGTATACATCTCCAACCCAGGAAATTCGATCTCGAAATGTGCCTGCTGTGGTTGGATACTGGAAGGACTGATAATGAAAAATCTAAGAAAGCAACACCATGAGAAAAAAAAATTATCTTGGGAAATGCAATGAAAATGTAAAGCTAAGTAGGTCTAAAATAAAATACAAATGTATAATGGGTTTTCTCTGTTGGGCATTTTTTAAATAATTTGTTTACCTCCATTCTATACATTAAAAGATAGGTTAATGAAGCATCAGTAAAAGGCCTGATAAAAGAATCCTGGTATCCTAACTCTCAAACCCCTTCTAAATTCTCCTTGAAAGTCCCAGAACAGTAGTTCTTGACCTGGGGGACAATTTTACCTTCCAAAAGACATTTGGCAATATCTAGAGACATTTTGGGTTGTCACAACTGAGAAAGAATTGCTAATGGCATCTAGTGGGTAAAAGCCAGAAATATCGCAAATTCTACATTGCATAGGACAGCCTCCAAAACCAAGAATTATCCACCTCAAAATGTCAACAATGCCAAAGTTGAGAAATGCCATTCTAAAGTAGCATGTAATATTCATATAGTACTGTTTGGTTTGCAAATGATTTCCACACATTTACTCGTTTGAGCCTCATAATAACACTGAACTATACATGGGGCAAGTATAATTGTTCCAAATTCATAGAAAGGGAAACAAGACCAAAAACAAAAAAACTAAGTGAGTTACACAAAGGCACATAGCTGGTAAGTGGAAAGGGGGAGATTTTTGTTTATCCTCAAAATCAGCAGGAGGGTATAATATAATCAAAACTTTCTCAAGTTATCTATCTTGGCAATTAATAAAAACCCCAAGTCAAATGCATAATCAGTACTCAGTGAATGTATGCTGAAACAAAACGATGCTGCTTTAGATTGAGACCAGCACTTCAACACCAAAAACACCTAATTATATCTGGTGGCCAAACAAGTAGTATAATACAATAGGATCTCTCTTATGCAAGAGTCAAGGCTTACCTCTTTCTTTGTTTACTTGGTACCACCCTACTTAGGAATGATTGCTAAATTTTGAAGAGCAACTTGCCCAAAAAGATGATGAATTACTTACTGGTTCATTTGTTCATGTAGTCATTCAATAAATATTTACTGCACACCTACTATGTGCTAGGTACTGTGTTAAGCAAAAGGATATAGTGGGAGCCAAACAAGCACAGTCCCTGTTCCCATGGAATTTAGTCTGGTGGGAAATACACATGTTAAGAATAATATGTGTAATGTGTGTTCCAAAAGAAGTAAAGACTGTCTACCACTAATTATCAGCATCAACATAAAAGGGTTTGAAATCCCTTATTGACAAAACAAGGCCTACTGTGTGTCTTCAAGATTAATCCAACCTCTAATTCCAAGTTAAATTAGTGATAGTAAAATCTTTGCTAACTGATTAATCTGACAGAACCTGACCTACCACATAACTGCTGCATCAGGTTGTGACTTTAAAGGTCCACTAATTCCAACCTGGGTAAGCTGACTTTCTGACAAGCCTCACAGAGAACAGCACCATACAATAACTGCTTGTTATCTGCATTTAAGGTTTCTGACCCAAGAAAATCCCCACTGCTTGTCCTGTCCTACTTTTGGCCAAGGAGGCAGAGCCAAATAAGGTCAACCGTAGTTTCCAACCACTCAAAATAAAATGAACTATTTTAAGTCTAAAGAAAAAAGGACCACAAATATAGCCTAGCTGCCTTCTCAAGCCACCTACTAGTTCCAAGCTACATGATGTTCAATAGCTCCTAAAACAAAATTCAAAGCTATACATTAAAATCAGAGAAAGTATTTCCAATCAAAGAAACAGGAAAAACAAATTAAGGATATTTTAAAAAATACAATCTTACATACAACTATGATATTCACATTGTTGATAGCATCTATCCTGAGCGATGGTACGGATACTGTTGGAAGCATAAAAAGAAAGGTTTTTTTTTACAGCACTACAATCTCCAATTAGACATCTGCAATGGAATTTGAACTACAGATGTGTTTTATATGTGTAACTAAAGTATTTTGCTTCTAATATTGTAAGACCATCTATTACCAACAACATCTGTCATCAACATAAGGTGATAAACAATGCAGATGTTTACGTGCTGGGAGAATATGCCAAGATAAATCTAAAGAGAACATATATACAGGCAGATACACCCAATGAGACAACTCATATGACAGGAAACAAGCAGCTTTAAGAGAAAGGATGTCTATGACCTATAAAATTTTTCTATTCATCATTCCTGGAGGTACCATTCTCCAGTACATGGAATCTGAAAATGAAGCTGTGAAGCCACACAAAAAGAAATAAAAAGGGGAAACAAAATTAAACCACATATCCTCTGATTTTCTGACAATTTTTTCCTATAGCTTATTTGCAAAATTCTTCAATAGAAGAATGAAAAGCCCTACATTACCAAATAAATGCCATGGAGGGTAGCAAGTCATCTCCTATTGAAATAGAAGTTCATCTTCTAAGATGAGAAGGAGTGCCGGGGACTTGGAATAAAAGGATTCCAGAGCTGTTGACCACAGAAGACCCAAAGAAATTTTTTTAAAGGTATACACTTACTGATTCTGTGCGACTGCTGCTGGGAGGTCGGTATGTCCAGTCTATGGTGAGTTTGTCTGTGACAGATGAAGTCGACTTGAAAATGCATTTCAACTTGACCTGTTCTCCAACATAACCCCGAACATGGGCATCTACTTTAATCTCCAAAGAAAGGACAATGTGGACACCTAAACAAAGCAAGCCCAAACACTTAAAATGTTTTCATTTGGGAAGAATAAACGCTGTTTATTATTTTTAGGGCTCTCATCAAAAAACCATAGCAATAAATATATTCTCATACAAGCCCAAAAGGACAAGGAGTAGATATCTGTATTAATCAAAGGTAGTATTTTTGTCATTTTACAATAGTAAATCATAGAAGGAATGCTTGGGTAAAAAATTTAAATCTGGTCACACCAGCATTTTTCCAAATACAGACTATGGTTAAGTACAAATAAGTGAGTCAGCCCATAGCAGGCTTAAAGACAATACCACCCAGTCCCCTGACACCCACACACTCTAGGAATATGTCAGCTATTGTGGTCTAAAGAACATACCCCAAGTGCAGCATGGTTGTAATCTGAAGCTACCACTGCCTCAACCACCAGCAAAATGAGAATAAGAAATAAGCAAAGGATATTTTTTTTCAAAGAATTTTATGAAACTGTCCCAAGGTTCTACCTAGTTTGGTTTTTTTTCTCCCTTTCTTAAAGCTGGTTAATGAATCGCACATCCATTAAAGGTAAATCAGGAGGAAGAAAACAGAACAACTTAAAGTATTCTAAAGTGTAAAAATAAGGTATCACTTTTAAATTCTCTAGAGACTTACTCTTTTGAAAACCACCGCATATAGCCAACATTGACACTCCATCTACCCCAAAAGAGTTGATACTTTCTTCTGACCAATCCTCTGTTTTCAGAGAACAGTGAGTAGAAATTTATCTTCTACTAGGGAGCCATTTTTATGAAAGTAAGCCACCAGGACTTTGCTTTTCCTGCTTCCTTCTCTACCACAATAAGCCATGATTCTTCTGGCAGGCCAAAGGCAAAGAGAAGCAAGGTTTCAGAAGACAGCAAACCTACACACCATTCTGAAAAACAGCAGTTCCTTTGGTAGAGGCAGGATGCATATCCCAGCCCTATCACTTGTTGGCTTTGTGGTCTTAGCAAGTTACTTTACTTCTTCAGTTTTTCACCCTAGTGGGAATGATAATAATAGTGCTTACTTATCTTAGAAGCTCACTGTGAGGAATAAATAAGTTAAAACATGTACAGAGTAAGTGCTTAATGCATATTGGATAGCTTCATCATCATTATTGCCACCTCTTTAGTTCTGCCTATAGTCTCTCAACCTTTCCTACCACAGACAGTTATGTGTCATCCATTCCACTACTTTTACCTCGGCTGCTTTGAATCATTTTTCTCGCTCCTCTCTAGACAATCTAGTCTGCTCACATTCCTCTTAAAGGAGGAGACCAAGAACTGAGCTCACAACTCTAATAAGAATCTGACCCTCCTAAAGATGAGAATTACTTCTGGGTCATCCACAGTATCCTTTCTCACTCTGCCAGGCTAAACTTGTCATTTCTTCTATGCCTTTACAAATGCTATTCTTCTTCATGGAAATTCCTCAACCCCTACTCTCTTTTGAACCCTCACTCCTGACCCACCCTACTCATCATCCAAGATCCATTTCTAAAAACTGGAAGGTGGAAATGAATGAATAAACTACACTCTCCCCATACCCGACTCCTTTATCCTAAAACATAAGTATAGTCAAAAGATTTTAAAGTATGGGTTTAGAATTAAACAGATCTGGACTTGATTTCTAGCACAGCTGCTTTCTAGCTGAGATTTTGATCACAGTCATCTAACCTGTTCTTTCAATTTCCTCAGTTGGTAAATGAGAATAAAAACAAGACCTACTTCCTTGGATCACTGTGAGGATCTAATAAGATTAGATAAGATAACCACAAAATGCTTAGCATAGTACCTGAAATTGCAACTTTCAATAAATGTTAGCCATGATCATTAAAATAAACACCACAAACATTTAAAAACCTTCAGTAATTCTCTATTGGGCTATAGAATAAAATCCAAATAGTGACAATCTGGCCCCAAACTTCTGCTACTCCACCCACCATCCCATTCCATTCCCTTCACAATGCCCAGAATGTCCTGCCATTTCCCAAATGTACTATGTCCTTTCACACCACTGTGCCTTTCTTTGAATATGTCTTTGTCTGAAAGACCTCTCCAACCCTACCAATGCCTGGGTTGTTTTCCGCACACTACATCCTTCAATGTTCACACACTTTCAAAACCCAGCTCAAATATCAGCACCCTTGTGATGCCTTCTCAAATTCCTTGATGCAGTTCGATGCTCTTTTTTCAATGTTCTCATTACATTTAGTACATTAAATGTACTATTTCCTTCATTAAATGCAAATACCTTGAGAACAAAATTCAAAGGGAGGGGAACAAGCAGAGAGAGACTGAGAGAAAGAAATGGACAAGTCACTAAAGATTCTAGTATAGGAACAATATGTGCTCATTAGTTACCCACTCTCTTCCTAGCCCACTTTTTACAGTATTTTCAATTCTTAAGTT